TTTAGCTATGTAATAATAAATAAGTCGTAAACAACATTCGCTTGATTTTCTTATATTTACATACGTACAATTGCAATTTCAAATATAAATATATAAATTAACTTGACATTTGGAAACTGAGTTAGCCAAGTAACAACATTATAAGAAACTAATCAAAAAGTGCATTTAGACCAGTATTTTTCCCATCTTAGCAATCTAATCATATTTAACGAACCTTAAAAGTGACGCATTGTAGGTCAAACCTCCACACAAAGTAGTCAGAAATCAATCTATAAAAATGATTGTCACCCCTTTAATGTGGTCATCACTTGATTCATGTTCAAAATACTACGCCCACTTCTGGCCACACCGATTCGAGTGGGATCCTTCGAGAAAGAAATTTGTTGCAAATCCAAAATCGACAAAATTGATTTTTTATTTCGTCTCCATGGTTACGTTGGGGTTCGCCCCTGTCGCGTGTGTATTCTTATTGAGCGCCCAATCATTAGGGTTCATTAATCTCGCTTTCCTCGAACTACTTGTAACGATCCAAATTTTACTGGTGTCGACATTAACGATAGCAACGGAACTGATATTTTTAATCTATGCTGAAGAGTGGGAACATTGCAGTAATTATCTGATCAGACTGGAAGCTAGTCAGACACGTATGTAAATAAATATATTACTTATTTAAATACGTATTATTAAGATAAAAATATCTATGTACTTATATTTTACACTGCGAAGTTACATTAATAAATGTTTATCCGCATTGGACAAGCCCGTTACGAACTTCCCTATATTGCAACTACATGCATATTTATGTATATTGTATCAAGATCTGCCAAATTTATTACACACTCTTTAAGTAAGCAATTTCTCATGTTCATACGTAATTGGACACAGAATACGTAACTGGCGTATTTATAAATACGTGAGGGAACACCATACCATGTTTTTTAGTCAAGCATTCTTGCACATTTTTGGAATCATGCATATGTATAACATCTGCATATGTATGTACGTGTTCTCCTCCAAAATAATATTCAATTTGTTTGTTTAGGCACACACACACGGTCAGATCCTACCAAAACATTGGATTACTTAGGAATTTACGTGCACGTCGTATTCATCGTCCTCGCATCAAGTCCATTTCTTATTGTCCCATTTTTAATTGTGCTCGACATTGAATTGAATCCTATAATTTTAATTATTAAACACATCATGCATAATGATCGTACCCTGTTACAATTACACTACACAATTCGCCCTAGCTTTATCATCCCGATGGTACAGTGCTGCCGAAGTTTGTGCGTTGTCTCCCTAATGGGCACAATAATTGGTAACATTTCCAAAACCTGCGTCGACTATTTGGACAAAACCTCGTTTCGAGTAGCGAGTTATTTGCCCTGCCTGCCGAAAAATATTTGCAGGAGTACGATAACTTGATAGTATGTCACTCGATAACCGCATCATCAATTGGGTTGACGATATCGATCGGCTTAACGATCGGTTTCATAATCTCGGTCGTATGCAATTACATTACGATTCGGCTAAGGAACGAACTTCCGCTGGGGATTTATGTAGCCTTTCCCGTAATGGGAGTACTTGTCCCGATTACGATTCAGGTCATGTTTTCATATCTTGTTCCAATAAATGACACGACGAAGAATATTTTGAGAAAGTGTGGATTTAATATTCATAAGAGTAACGAGATCAAGTATTTAAGTCGCAAGTTACGCTCGATGCAACCGATTTGTGTACATAGAGGATTTTTGGGGTTGAAATTGTTTGCGTGTAATAGATCGAATAGGGCTCAGTATTTTTCGGTTATGTTAAATTATACTGTGACTGTTGTTATGACTACCAGAGAAAATCAGAGGTAAAAATATTACTGTTGTGATTTATTGTTTATAAATACTTAGATATAGCATGTTTCATATATACGTAAGCTCGACGATTTTTTGTTATTATCTGATAATATACGAATTACGAGATAAATAAATAATCACCTTGTCATCAAGAAGAAGAGATTAATCTAAAAATTTCTAATCATTTAGTGGTGCTTATATAAGCTGAATAATTTGAAAACTTATTGATCCAGATCCAATTATCTGTCTCATTTTTTCGATGAACTTAAGGATATGTAAGTATGACCAGGAGACATGTTTGACGTTACTGGTTACTTATTAGCAATAATATGGGACTTCGCCAATTTCAATAGTTTATGTAAGTATAATTGCGTTTTAATTTTTTACCAGAGGATTACAATTCTTAACAATTGTTGTTCTGGGATTCGAATTTAGATTAGTTCCAGGTAACCAAATTTATTAACCTAAAAGCCAACTCATACATATATATTCATAGTTTAATCTTCCTTAATTGTATTTTTCATTTCGAAAAGAAATACTAGCTACAGAGCCCTATTGTACATACATACATATGCGCATAAATATGTATGATATACAGAGTTAACAAGATACGAGTATATATTTACTAAATTGCGCAATTTCTAGGCTGATAAATTCATTAGTTTTCTAATGTATACATACACAGCCATAAATATAATTCCAAGTAATGTATCTACGTATCTACGTATGTATCTACGTATGTATGCAGGAATATTCTACAATCGTTTATTCGCATTCCATTAAATAGCAGTGTTATGCTTACGAACATATTTTGCAAATACAATAGATTTAAGTAAATACATATTTTGCGTATGTACGTAATTCATACTAAATCTCACTAGCGTATACATATTTTTCTTTTTGTATTTTTCGTATGAATATAACTTAAATACGTCAACGGAAATTAAATTATTTTCCATTATAAATATGTAATATAGCATATCTGTATGTACGTATTACATATCCAGCTATTGGTTATCCATGTTACGTTTCCTCCACGATCAACGATAGGTTTTTAAGATAAAGTCTAAACATGATTGTCACGCCGTTAATGTGGACTTCGCTTGATTTATGCTCGAAATACTACGCTCATTTCTGGCTTCACCCGTTCGAGTGGGATCCCTCGAGAAAGAAATTTATTGTCAATTCAAAAAGGACGCAACTGAAATTTTATTTTTTATCCATGGCGATTATGGGTTTTGGCATTATCACCTGCTTAACCCATTTCTTCGGTCTGAGCAATCTCACGTTCCCCGAAGTACTAGTGACGATATTAATTTTATTGTTTGTCACGATAACTTTCGTTACGGATTTGTCATTTGCAACATATTCCAATGAATGGGAGCTTAATAGTAATTACTTCATCAAATTGGCAAAGTGTAGATTTCATGTGAGCAGAAGCAATGAGGTGAAGTATGTGAAACGCAGGTTACGTTCGATGCAGCCGATTAGTCTGTATGGTGAAATCATGGGGGTGAAATTGTTCAAGTGTAATAGATCGAATAGGTCTCAGTATATTTCTCGGTCATGTTAAATTATACGGTGACGACGGTCATGACGACGAGGAAAAGTTAGAAGTGAATGGCTTATTTGATAAGTATTTATTGTCACGAACTTGTTGTCTGATTTCTCGACTAATTGCATCCGCTGTTCTCCATGCAATCTACTTCTTCAAGATGGACAAGACGGTGCCTTTGTTGATGATGTTTCCGGGACGCGTCATGTAAAATGGGAATTACTGCTTGGCGAAGAAGTTATGCATTCGCTTGCCAGATGTTCTAATTTGCTAGATGATTTCCATTATTTTTGCACGCATTTATTTAGTATTAGATATCGTCGTACTAATTCATAAAAGACCTAAGTGCAGTCGATGCTGAATTCAGAAACGACCTAAGTGCAGTCGATGTTTTATTCAGAAAAGACCTAAGTGTACAGAAAAAAAGGAAGAAAAGACCTATGTGCACGTATGTATTTACTTATGGCTATATATTGCCAAACCGATTCTTAAGATATCGCGCGATTTAGCCATAAGTAAATACATACTTGCACATAGGTCTTTTCTTCCGTTTTTTCTGTACACTTAGGTCTTTACTGAATAAAACATCGACTGCACTTAGGTCTTTTCTGAATTCAGCATCGACTGCACTTAGGTCTTTTATGAATTAGTACGACCTTATGTACAAATTATGGGCTTTTATTATTGTTCTTTCCATGAAATCATTTTACATAAATTTATTTCGAAAAAGCTAAACGACCAGCGCCGTACAATGGGTATTATGGGCTTGTACATACTGTGAGCAACCTGGCTTTGCTGTATGTTATAATACATAAAAATCCCGACGACGCGACAGAAACAAAGTGTTACATAAATTGTCCAGTATGCAAAATAGCCAAGTGTTGAGACCGGATGGAGAATGGCAAACCAGACAGTTTCAGGTTACGGCTTCAGTTTGGAGCTGACCTTTCCCATATCTCACGACCAAGCAAACTCGACTAATCACACTTAAAACACTGTATGATTATGTGACTCATTTATGTTAAAGTCTGCTGTCGTAGTAGCAATTATGTACCATATAAGAATGGAGATTGGAAAGAAAAGGATTATTAAGAGATTGGAGGGGAAAGAGAGAGGAATAAAGTAACGGGACTCAAGTTGTACAGACACAAGAATATTTGCTGTCTTTCACACATTATTATTATTGCATTGCTTTACAATTCATGCAAATTACTACATTTTTAACCAGATTAACGGTGTTTCGGGTGCAAGTAACCACCTGCAAGAAATAACCGCAAGAAATTGGTTTCTTGCAGGTATTTTTACCCGCAAGAAATGCAAAGTGCAAGAAACTCCTTCCCGCCGCCATAGTTCTGAAGGCGCGTCGCTAGATGGCGCTGTGTTTCTTGCACTTTCTTGCATTTCTTGCACCTTGCATTTCTTGCATTTCTTGCTTTGCAGTGCAAAAAATGAGAAAAACCCGCAAGAAACGAAACACTGCAGATTAATTAGTAAAAGTCATCTCACATTTTCCAATCACATCATTCACACAAAGAAGACATATTCCAGCACAAAATAAACCCAACTTTGCAGAGTTGGCTGACAATACATATGTACGTAGTCAACTAGATATAATGGTGGCAATTAATTAAAGTAAGTAAAATATAATAAATACACTACGTATGTACATGTGTATTATTGTTTCACTAATTACGTTTTAACGAATATGATTTTACCCAATTTCTCGAAGCCACTTAAAATATGTAGGCATGTAATTTCATAAATATATAATACAAGAAATGTAATATAAGGAAAAATCTACGTGGTTGGATTACCTGACCAGTTTTCATTTATTTATTTACATCGGAAGAGACATATTCACGTATGTATGTGTCACTCAATTATGCACAGTCGACAGTAATGCGTCATTGTAATACCTATTGTAAATAAGTACTTATCTAAGTTACTTTGTTGGTTGTTTAATTTTGGACTAAAGATATCAGGAAATATTTAAATATGTATACACAATGTTTGAATAATAAACTATTTTCCTGCCTAAGGAAATTCGATACAAGAATTTCATCTTCACAGTGAAACCCTCACTGTAATCGACAATATTTTGCACATTGAAACAAATTACTCAAACCCGTAGTAATAGTTGTCTCCTAATCTTTTTGATCCTGTAAAAAATGTCGCTTCCGGAAAACACATAGCAACTCTTGCCTCCGCATCGCTGTCAGACAAACCTCTCGGCAGGTTGTAAATGTTAACTTCTAATTTGTGCCCCCGATCTTGCGGACGTCCTTCTTTGTTTAATGGCAGCACAAAGTTTAGCATCCCTTCGATCTCATCCTTCGTCGCTACATCCATCACGAATATATTGTAAACTCGCAATTTTGGAGCACGCAGATGACGAAATGGACCATCACTTGTCCCCGAAATGGTCAACTTTTCCAGTTTCGTCATTTCTGGTAATTTGCAATCCCCAAAATCCGGCGGGTCAAGTGATTCAAACTCGATTTCATCTGCCACATAATAACAATCGTAGATCAATTTTAGCTTCTTCAAAGTGGAACTTTGGGTTTTCAAAAATGCTTGAAGTTTGTTTGCTTTAGCGGTGCAGTGAAACCGGGTTAAGTGAAAGGCTTCAAGATTAAGTTGGTTTCCGAGTTTGGCTAAGGATTGAAGTTCTTCATTGCTCAATTGACAGTTTATTTTCAACAGGGTCAAACTATTCGCAACTGTGCCCTTAATCGCGGTAAACATTGGCAGCATGGAGGTCATCTGCTCTGGGTCGAGGTCAAAGTCAAGCGTTAATTCTTTCAGTTGGGGGCAAGTTGAGAGAAAATGTTTCCAAAAGCCGAGTTCAATTTGGGTGTAGGACATTTCACAGAAATTGTGCATTAGTTTGCTCATAATGGAAAGCTTCTGTAATTTTGGGAATGAATGGGGTTGATTTTTCTTGGAATTTTTGGGGAATAACTCATCCGATTCGATTACAGTTCTGGGTAAATTGATCCGTAACGTGGTAAGCGTGGCGCCACAATATTTGAAAAATGAAAGTAATTGATCCGTTTCGAATTCGGGATCCACTTCGATAAATTCAGGGTTATTGTGACAATCGATTGTCACGTGTTCCATTATTGCGCCATGGTGTTGCCATAATTTTTCTACTTCAGCGTAATCGAGGAGTCGGCCGAAGAAGAATTTCGAAAAGGGAAAATTCTCGGCCGATTTTTGGGAATCCAAAGTTTTTCGAAGTTGTTTAAGGTTGTGTTTTTCTATTTTGGCTTCCGCCTCCGTGTACCCAATTCCAATTTTGACCTCGGGAAGGTGCGATTTTAACAAGATGGTGATCACGGTGTTCCAATTTCGGCAGACGTGGCGACATTTTACGAGTTCTTTGCGTGGAACGAACTTCAGTACGATAAGGAGTAACTGAAATTTAGAGACATTTTTTAAAATTTTGAATTGAATTTGTTACTATGAGCGATGTCGCGCTAATTTTATTTTTTATTTAATTTAAGCTTAATATTTTATCCAAACCTCAGTTGGTAAGAATTCCATATCGTTGGTTTTACTCGATTCCTGTAAAAGACGCCCGCTTCTTCGGGGGACCGGTTTTGAAGCCATACTATTTGTGAATAATTTTTTGATCAGACTTTGTGATTAAAAATATGTAATCGATGGTAAAGAATACGTAAAACTGTGGAGCCAAGTATTTATATAGAACAGAATCTGTGGAGCTCGGCAGATTTCAAGTTGGTTCGTGATAGAACTTGTTTTCTCATTTTGTCAAGTGTAAGTGTATGCTTGTTTAATCAGTACAGATAAGCCATCACATCATATGTTAATAAAATTGACATATTGTAGTTGTGATAATAAATAATGAGACAGATTGGGTGTAAACGAGTTGAAGCAAAATCTCCATAAACTAAATATGTACATATGCACATGTTATATTTGCGTACAGTACATAAATATATAGATACGGCATGACATGTCTCAGTCTTGTATGTTTGCATGGACATTACATAATTTTTATTATGCAAAAAAATCACCTAGCTTATTGTGGAATTATGCTGTAATCAAGTTGTTGTCAATCCTAACACTTATGCACTCACACAGTATACTGTAATAAGGTCATAGTTCTTCGAAAATCGATCGAATTCCTATAGGACGATCGATTTTCGAAGAATTATGACCCCCCTCCTTCCCCGCACTGGAGTGATACAGGTGCACATAAATAGGTACATAATATGTACTTGTGTACATATGTATGTATCAACGTTATAAAGAACGTCCGGGAATGAATGGGAATGGTCTGAAAATGTGGTCATAAAATCACAATGAGTTATCGGAATTTTAAACTTTTTGCATATGTATAATACCAAATACGTACCTACATAATTTAATTAATAGCTAAGGCCGCCACACCCCCGTTGGCGACTAGTTCGATTTTCTTGCGAAGATTTTTCATTAAATTTTTTCCCGAAGTTTTTGCCACTTCCGAGGTGATTTTCTTCCATCGTCCTTTGAATTTTCGAAAGGTGTCAGGCACATCTTGAAGCCGGGAGTATACTGACTTAGAACGTGCCCAGAATTTTTCGATTGGGCGGAGTTGGGGTACATTAGGTGGGTTGATATCTTTTGGTACGAAATCAATATTTTTCTTTCTGAGGTACTCGGTCACTTTCTTTGCATAGTGACAAGTGGCGAGGTCAGGCCAAAACAAAACTTTATCATTTTTGTGAAACCTATTAATAAATGCTTCCAATCCAGCCTTGACGCAATTTTTCAGATAAATATCTTGATTGATATTCCCTTCGAGAACTACCGGGTCTGATACATGTCCGTGACTGGAGATGCATTGCCAAATGCAATATTTCTTTGGAAATTTGTCTTTTTTTCGTACTTTTTCTTCATAAGCCACTTCAGAGGGATCCGAGCTATGAAAAAAATGACGCCCTGGAAGATTTGAAGGGTCAACCGGAACATACGTTTCGTCATCCAGGATCACTACTTTTCCACGCATTTTCTTCAACAATTTTTGACAGCAATCCTTGATCCGACTTTCTTGTACGGGCTTGTAATTTGGTGCAGGTTTTTTGGTCCTTGCTTTGATTCCTAATTTATGGACCTTAATTTCCCCCAGGTAGCTTTTGGAAATTTTGACTTTCCTGGCAGCTACAGCTACTGACGTTGATGGCTTGGTTTTGAAAATTTTTTCAATTCTATTTTTCACTCGAGTGGTCGCTAGCTTCGCCGGACGACCAGCTGGCTTCTTGAATTGCACATTTTCGGAATCCTTGAACTTTTTTATGTAGGAATACACATTTGAACTTGGAATTCCTTCCTGCTTAAAAAAGTTCCAGGTCACCTTGGAGTCTCGGTTGGCTGTCGTGTTGTAGAACTCCATCACTCGTTTTGCTAACAGCTCCCTTTCAAACAAGCTTCTTCTACCCTTATCCATTTTTGAAATTTAAGAGTGATATACCAAATTGACCCTAATGAAGTGGGCTTTCAGAAATTTAAATTATTATAGTTCGCGGGTTTATTGATTTGTCAATATACTCGCTAGAGCGCGCATTCCCATTCATTCCCGGACGTTCTTTAAGTATATATGTATTTTATTTCACCCAAAGAGCTTAAAACATTATTTAAATACACTGATTATACATACATACGCAGAACAAAGTCCGGAAGCCTACACTTTGTAAAAATATTCCCCTTCAGTCGCGACAAATCTAAATATTTTGAATTCAAACCAAGTATATATATAGCCTGTTGTGGCAGCTATAATTTGTAAATAGCTGCATATATACCACACCCACAAGTTTGCATATCTTTACATTGGTAAAATTTAACCCTCGTCATTACGTTAATAGCTATCAATCAAACCTGCATATTCATTTGATATAATCGAACCTCGACAAAGTTTGCAAATTGGAACCGTTTACAGGGCAAACTATAATTACTATAACTTGGATCAAATACGAAAAAATTGTGCAAGACAAATAGCAAGTATTTTCTATTTAAACTGGTGAAATGTCTAATCAATTTATGATCTAGACAATTTATCTAAGAGATAGTTAATTTTAGTCATAAAAGTTTTGCATTAAGGAATTTTGCATTCGGCGTCAGTTATTTATGTTTCTTACTTCAGTGAAGGTCAAATTTCCCGAACAAATAATTCAAAACCTTCGAAATCTTGAATTCATATTAATATATTTTATGAAATTTTGAAACCTAAAATAAAATAGAACAAATTGGGAATGTATTCCAACTTTACATTTAAGATGGTTAGCTTAATGTCCACAGTAGATTGCACCTTTGGCATAGCAAGTGCTAGTTTCAACTCTAGCAAAAAATTATTTCAAAGCACGGGAAGATCAAAATTCAGATTTCGCAGAACGATTTTCATTATATTGTTGTGTCTTATCTTTAATTTGGCACAGACGTTTAAACTGTGGAAGTTAGAAGGGGGCCAGAACAATCCATATTTTTATTCTGCGTATGCTTTCAGTTGTGCGTTAATCCTCGTTTTTGGAATACTCTTGTCATTTTATTTCAATGAGGAGGACATCGTTACGGGGGCAAATCATACGTTCCATATTTTCATAGTAAGTAATTAATAATCACCGATCTTGAGTATGTATATATTTATGTAGCTGCGCGTATTTTTTTAAAAATATATGTAAGAGGGCAGGGTAGAAAATGTGCTGAAAGACATACAATCTACACAGTTAATTTCAGAATTTGATATTTGCCTTAGGCCCCTAATCACATGACATGATCACATGACATAACATGACAATCACGGACGCTCTGACATATTTGTATTATTCACATAAAGTAGCTAAGTGTTGCTACTAAAGTTGAAACCTTTTAATTTCTAAACACTAAATTTCTTCTTAGGAAAATGGATGCGTTCCTCGTCCCGACCTGAAATGGAAAAGTACACAAAATTCATGGACGCCATTGTACTCTTGCAATTGACTCAATTCTTGTTACTGCCAATTTCTACGACGTTGTTTTTCATTGTCTCGCCAGATAACCCGATGCATCCCAGACACATCATTCCCAAAGGGATTAAACTGAAAGATAACCCGATATTTATATTTGTCTCATTGATTTTTATCACGTGGACGTCTTGCATCGCATGGTATACATTTATGCGGTTCATGATCGTTGGGACAATCTATTTCAGTAAATTATACACATTTCTAGTATTTATGAAAAGTTTAACTTGATGTTTTACGATTTTTCTTTCACATTACAGTCTCGATTTTATTGGTGATGAGAGAATTTAAGACAAATTCGGTGAAACAGTTGACAGTTAGTGCCCTAAGATCGTCGGCGTATTATCTTTCTCGAGAATTTACAAGCGTGCAACTTCTCCATAAAGAAATTATGCAGGGGACATGGTCTATACTTGCATTGACACATTTGACGATAGCTCATCTCAGCTTATTTTGCAATTTTTCTATCCTAAAAAATTGGTACTCTATGAATTCTTCGACATTGGTAAGAAACACATGAAATTTGTTGTAAAATTACCCTTCGTAAAAATTTTAAGTTGCGATAAATATATATTGTTTATTTATTCCAGACCTTGCTGAGCATTTGGGCCATCGTGCAACAATTGGGCTGGGGAGCTGTTCTAGAAATTGCAGGAAAATTTAATAATTTTTCGATCAAGACGTTAAAATCTTGGAAAGTTATATCATTCAAAGACAAGACGGAAGCCAAGTACTTTTCCAAATTTCGGAAATGTCAGAAACCCGTGGTTATTGGGAAAGAGGGGGTTTTAGCGTTTAAACGGTTGACGGTTTTGAAATTTTTCAGGGCTGCGATTAAAGGGACGTTTAAAGCTTTGTTGACTTTAGGGAAAACGGCGTGAATATCTATACAGTAAAATCAGACAGTTTATTTGCACATATATTTTTGTATATAAAATAATAATATCTTTATTGCATATATAGCCAATAGCTCTTGCAATTCACAATCATAGTTTGTTACATATATTTTGTATAGTCAAATTTTTAGATTATAATAATTGTGATAGTAGACAGGGGAGTAGAGGGAAAACCAGACTATGGTGGTCAGTATGGAACAGAGTATAAACCCAGATCGAACCGGGATAGGGTGAGTTCGACCTGGATGCCATAAGACTTTTCAGCATTGAGAACTGCATAATGGTAGCTGGAGGGGACAAACATAGAACATGACGCTTTTTTATTTAAAATAAAATTGGACCCAATTCCAAAAAAAAGTTGTAATTTAATTGTAATTTGTGATGAGCATAATTACTGAGATAATTGTTTGAGATAGTGCTGGTATTACAGTCACTCAAAACGACTTAATCAGTCCAAATTTACAACTGTGAAATTATTTTGAAGTTGACAAATTTTGTAAAGTGAACAACAATTTCTACCGACTTTAATTAGTAATTAGATAATTACTTAAAGATAGTGCAGGTATTACAGTCACTCAAAACAACTTAAACAATTCAAGATTGAAATTGTGCGATCACTTTGATGTCAACACACTTTGTAAGGTATTGAACAGGAATTTTTTGCACCAATTACCGAGATAATTGGTTAAATATAGTGCTGGTATTACAGTCACATACTTTTTACATGGAACAAAATTTTGTTCCAAAAATATGTGTACACTCCCTTCCATTCATTTTTAAATCTTAAGAGTTATCCGGCAACCTCAGATATCGAAATACGAAAAGTTCGACCTGGATTTATACTCTGGTCTGGAAAACCTCTACCTGAACTGGGAAGGATGCCCAGTTCACCATTCGGCCCTGACTACCTATGAAACCCAGGTTCGACCAAATGCAAGACAGCGATTATAGGCGATTTGCATATCAGGAAAAATGGTGACATTCAAGTGAGTAGGCGCCGTGCTGGCGGGGACACGACGGGTTCTGGGCTGGAGCGGAGCATCCATGGACCACAAACTAACCAATGACCCATCAGGGTTCGGCCTAAGTGACCCCATAAAGGGGCCATGAAACACCCCACGAACTAACCCCTCCCACCGCAGCACATGACTAGGTCATGGGAACCCCGTAGACCTACCCCAGCCGCCCCCACCACCACCGCACACACTCACTCTTCCGTCGACCACCCCCACATGTTCACCACCCCAATATATCAAGCAAAGGTCTTACCTGGGGGAGCTCCTCCAAGGCGTAGATCCTCCCGTGCACAGGGTCCGGCGAATCCAACTTCGCCTGATGGCTAAGCTTGTCGTTGATGGGACGGGTGTGGCAGGGGGTGTCACCAGGCACGCAGGTGGGGGGAGTGAGTGGACGAGGCTCACATGGCGATAATGCCTTGGGACACACTTAACTTGCCCTGGCACACCCGCGACCCAGATGGAAGAGGATCCAAAATGCAGAGCGAGAGAGAGATACGTGATGCACGAGAGGAGGCCAAAGAGGAACTCCCCATATATTTTTGTATATCATATCCGAATATACGAGTAATTAAGTACTAATGCCATTAAATTTCAAATACTATACAGGTTTGGTGCATGCATTTACAATTTAAATGAAGCAGACAAACTAGATTAATCTTTATTCAATCAGATGCGTGTAATTTTAAGTCATTTAGAATTAACAAACCAGTTTTATCTTCCTCTGAAATATTTGTATGCGTTTCATAAGTACCTAAATATTTTTGCTAATTGTTCATTAGAGTACTTATTTACTAATTCAATCCTAGGTTTTTACATCTAATGAATTAATTTCAAACTAGTTAATATTCCAAAGATGAGTCAATTGTGCATACGCAGAAATGAGTATCTTAAGATGACCACGACATTCTTTCAATTATGCATACCTTGTAAATTCATGAAGCAGTTAGAGACGCAGATGTTTTAATACTTTGACCCAATTGTAATAAAAAAACTCGTTCAGAATTAAATTAACCCCGACCAACTGTTCTCTTGTCGATTTACAAAGTCAGGATGGGCAAAATGCTGATAGAAACTCACATCTCTATGCACTCAAAACCAATGGAGTGAACGTATAACAACTATTGTTGCGTGATAATTACCCGATAGTTTGCGCCAAATACCCAACGGGCAACATGAGCATACAAATTGTAAGTGTCATAAATAATTTGATACGAATTTTATACAACTTTGTTTACACATAAATAGACATATCTATCTATATGTAAACAATGAGGGTATTCATTACAAGTTCGCATGTTCGCATCGCATCGCAACTTTTTCGAAACTGCGAATTTTGCGAAGCAACAAAGTGACGACACTTCGCAAATGAAAATTTTGTTCAAATATCTCGAATTTTGCAATGAGAAAAATTCGTAAATTTCCATTAGTTACCGAAATTTTGCATCTGAAATTTATCAAATAATAAATTTCAAAAATTCAAATGGCAAAACTTTGGTAACTAATGGAAATTTATGGACTTTTCCCAGTGCAAAGTTTGTGAAAATTATTTTGTGAACTAAATACTAGCCTTGAAGATGCGCAAGTTGGCAAATCAATTTTCAAGCCAATAATTTTTGCGAACTTGCGAACTCCATTTTTTTGCGAACGTTGCTAATGATGCGAACTCAAAATGAATACCCTCAATATGTATATTTATAAATGTGTTGTTTTTTAGATTTCATTAATACTGTTGCAAATCTGGGTACAAACAATCTCATCTTTTCCAACTAATCCTAAGTTGATGCCCCAACCGATTGCATCGTTACAAACAACGGAGCACGCCATCACCTATAACGAGTCTTGAATCTCATGGGCAAAATGTTAAACCGGTAACTAAGCAGGAAAGTACATAGATAAAATTCCTAATTTTGGAATTGTGGCATCCTACTCTTTAAAACGACTAGAGTTCGGGAGGACTTTGACCTACATATTATTACATGCTTTTCTAATGAGTAACATTTTCTAGGAGGAGAAACCGAGAATGTTAAATGTCGAAAAGGACACGGATTTTAAATTAACGAGTAGTTATCGGAAATCCAAGCAGCAGAACTTCCCAATGATGATTTACGGGGGCTGGTAAGTAATTGACAAAATGATTTTTGCAACAATTTTACGTATTAGACAAATGTCGCTTTGCAAAATTTTTGTGCAACTAAATTATAATGTGAACATATATGTATGAAAATCAAATTGTTAAAATTATTGAAATTCAACTTCAGCTATCCACCAGGCTTATCAGCTTTTAAAGGAAACTCATGGCCCACACCGAGACCGCCATTAACCTTGGAAGAAATACTTGTTTTCTGGAAATACTTATCGGGAAGATCAGCCACACGACTTGCCGATGGCGATCCTCCTCTGATAAACTTTAATAAACCTATAGATGAAAATTTTTTCTCAGCAGGACGCTGAATGAAGTGGTTAATTTGTTCTTACTCCAAGATCGGAAATATAATACAAGTGGTGTTAATACAGGGCTAAGGTTTCAAATGTACCGTCTTTCCCTCCGCATTACTAACATTCACCTATGTAAAATTTATTTTAAAATTAAATATGTGACAAGTCCTGAAAATGTTTCGAATTTTGTTGAAAATGCATCTTATACGTGTACATATATTGAAACTCGTTTGCATACGGATATATGTTACCTGAACAATTTAAAATATTTAATGACATTTATTTTTAAAATGCTGATTTTTGCAAATACAATTAGTGCGAATTTGTGTACGATTATTCAGCATAGTTGATAGTGTAGAAAAGCGATCGCCAAGAGCACGTTGGACGCCATTACCGTTTTGCCTATGGGCAGCACATTGTCTGGATTGGATTGGGGAATTGGGGCCTGGGCAACAATGGATAACCTGGATAATTTTCTCTATTTCTGACTTTCTGAGTGTTATTAAGCACTCACAAAGTTGATAATCATTTGAGAAATAAACCAACCACGCATTTACAATTGCGTTTACAATTTGTAAGTTACAATTTGTAACTTACAAAAGTTGAGAAAACGCTCAAATTTTGCATTTGCATTCTCAAACCAAACCAAAGTATCCCATTGCATAAACATTCCCATTAGTCTCAACTTGAGACTCTGAAGTTGAGACTGCTGAAAGTCAGCTGGCTGAACTACAGCGCGGCACCCATCGCACAACCTTTCCAGTCGGGCAAAACAACAATAAGTTTTCTAGTAATTTGTAATTCGTTGTTTTGTTTCAGATTAACTTTGAAATACATTTACACATCGACGAATCGCGAAAGGAGCATAATCCGGACCGGATTTTTGTATTTATTTTAGAGGATAAGGTGCTTAATTAGTTATCATTATATTCACATTTCACAACACAGTAATTCGTAATTACATAATTATTTCCTTTGTTTCAGAGTGATTCGTCGACACGGAGGTGAGTTAAGGCGATATGGCGACAGCATTGTTCCCTAATGAGGAGAAGATGGAAGCAGACATGGAAGATTTGGACCTTGTGAAGTTCGCTCATCGTGCCGTCGGTATCCTCCAAGCTATCCAGCACATGCCAACAATTAAGAATGTGGAGGAAAATCTGCCAGTTTTCCTGTCAGAGTGTGACATTCTGGTCGATGTGGAATCTTCATTGGGTCCAGAAGGAAGTAGGCACATGATCAATCCTTCGACGCTCCCAGAGTCATTGTTCGCGTGAGTATCGCACAATTATATTTATGTAATTTTGTCATTATGTCTTTTACAATTGATAATTTTTGTAACTATTACAGACCGTTTAAAGTTACTCGAGTGTCAACTGATGGCATTTTCCGTATCGGTTCGTCCTGCAATGCTCTTGACCCACTTCTACCTCCGGACGAGGGCGAAAAACCCTTCTTCGAAATCAGAAACTTGCGTGGTTTCATGGATATTTGGACGGTGAATGACAAACTTCATGCGTCGCTCGCACAAAATGGAGTCCTTGTATCGCCACAACCCATCTTGCTGAGTGATGAACAGAAGATTGAAGTTTACTGGGGGTTAACCTTTCTTGGTAAAACGGGAGCTTTGGTGGCCGGAATTTTGGCGAGTGTGCCATCTCTGGAAGAAATGGGTCTTAAGAATTGGATACTTCCCACGGGGGACACGGTATGCTATACATTAAACTGGATTTATGTCGGTATTCTTATTTTTGCATGATGTCACAGATCCCGCTGTCTTCCCTGAGACCCACAATCTTTGAAGTCGTCCCAACCAATGTGTACTCCATCAATCAGAAAATTTCCCGCGCCGTTGAGGGACCAGCAACATACTTCGGTGCTGAGGCAGGGGACATTCCTGACCCAGAATTTGTCAGGTTTGATACGCAAAAAATAATGACGACTATGAACGACGCTAGAGATAGTTTGGCTATTCGACACGCCGTCCTCTTGGCAGAACTACCGGATGGAACTCTGTACATCGTCGACCCCACTGGGAGACAGTTCGGATACAAAGGGATAAATGGGAGTGTCGTCATTCACGGGAAATTGGACGAGTATAAAGAAAACTTTCCGGGACTCGTCGTAGCTCAAGTGAGTCAATTACTATTTAAATTTAATTGAAGTGCGACATTTTGTTCAGAATTATATCTTATACTTATTTACAGCATAACGACGCTCCAGTCGAACCCACTGCTGCAGACGATTTCACCCCCCTTTTGCAACGTCTGCTAGGAAAATACTTGAAGAAAATACTCTGCGCCTACTGTGGTGAAATCGGCGAGATACATCCCAAGCAGATGGCATCCATGAACAATGGTCGCGAACTTTTGTGCTCCCAGCAGGCCTGCGACTTGATGTATTGTGCGGTCTGCAGGCGAGAGACGTATTGTACCAAGCGGTGCCAGAAATTGGACTGGAAAAATCACAAGCCGACCTGCAAATACACTTAGTCCGTCTAAAATATAACGACTCTATCTCTCAACGACTCTGGACTGGACTTTGGATTGGAAATGTATCAACTTTTTTGAAAGAATATCGTTTCGCAGCCTTCGATTGTATTTATAATTTTTGTATTGACAAACGTTCTCAGGTTATGCTAATTATTTTGTCAGTAATTTTTTACTTAGAGCTTTCTTCCTTTATTAATAAAATTGTTCTGCAATCCGTACATACGTAGGTAATTCTTAATTACAGAGTCTTTTAATTTTGTCCACTGTAACCTAAATCATGCATATTTACTTCATGCATGTTGGAAAGATTTTTAATTACTGACGACAACGGCTACAATAATCAACAAATTAAAATTGCGCAACACTTCATTTATTTCTTACGTCAAATTAAGCATAAAGATGTTTAATCAAAACCACAGCCACACAGAGCCATAACTGCTAAAACTATTATCACTATGATAACAATTACTATAATTTCGATCACAGAGTAGCCAGAATCTTCCTCCTCTTTTTCAAGTTCCCGATGCAGTATGATTATTTGTTGGCGTGGTTTGTCCGGAATTTTCCACACAAATTCGACCGCCCCTCCAGGCGGGTTTTGTAATCGGTGAAGAGGTCCAACAAGCCTCGACCCCATCACTTCGACGCCTCCGCAGCTGTCGTCAGCTCCGACCTCGTCGCGATCAAAAATTTCGATGAGGTATCTCTTAAAGAAGTAGAAATGCAAAATTTCAATTTAATTTTGGGGCTAAAACTCGTGAACGTTATAAAATCAGATGAACTGTTAGGTATTAAACTGAATTGTAATTAAATAATTAGTTATTTTTAAATACATTTAAATTGTATTTACAAACCTCGCTGGGAATCACTCTAAACGACACGGATTCGAAAATTGGCATGAAATGGAGGTTATTTTGAGGCTGAGACCTGTAGACTACGTTGCCGAAACTATTTTTAATTACAAGGTAGGGGTCGTTCCAATCCCCTGGGCCATCCTGATTGGGAAGATTGCTACATTTGGGTACAAAAATATATTTGCATATTTAGATGATGAGAAATTTTAGAATTTAGTGATAATATCCCTGTCTTGTTTCTCGGAAATTAGGAAGTAGTGAAATGAAATTGGAGAAAGAATTGCGGAATGAAATGAACGCTTTTGTTGGAAAAAATTGACGATATGTATTTTTTCCATTCGGTATCTTTCTACAACAAAAAGTTTACTGGCTTAAACTTTTAGGTATCAAGGCATGAATCCAAGTTAAGAAAGATAAATAGTTGGGTTTGTATAGTCTGCATAAGTCGGTATTATAATTAAATAATTTTTTCATTACTATGCGAAGACGGTGAAATGGGTTTCTCCACCTGAATATGGTGCCCAAGCTTGGCGTTGGTTTGGCGTGGCAACTCCTATTCCTAGGAAACTTGTCGCCAAAAGTACAATTTCTATCCCCATTGTAAATACAAATGAATTATCACAAATTCGCATACGTACGACTCATCAAGTCGGAAAACTTGTATCGGTAGACTATAATTTTATGTAATGCTATAGAAGATATGACTCCAATTTTTATAAATTTTTAAAATGAGTTTTTAGTTGGAACAGTGATAAAACTATAAGTTGAAAAATTCCATAAAATTGTGGTCGGTATTTAACTCATCCTGCCTATGTACATGTACCCATACCTACTGATCAGTTATATACTTTATGTATTAGCGTCGCACCCAGACAATAGAATGTCAAGTGGCGTGTGTGCAAATCATGAAACATTTTTGTCAAAGTAATCTCGTTATCACCGGGAAACAATTTTTTTTTATTTGGTTTAATTAGTATTACTCATTTGAATCGGTACAATCCTCCGTCAGGCAGGTCTGTCAAATGTTTCCTGGAAATTGTAAAATTATCTGATAAATTCGTTGATAAGAACTGTATAATGCTAAATCACGAGTTGGCCCACATCTTTAAGATGTACATACGACATACATACATGGAAAGTTGTACACAAATAAGTTATTCTTCATACAGGTGTATGCCGCAAAATCCTGAGAACTGTGAAGGATATGTAACAACTTATGTATTTGTGAAGCTAACATGAAAAACACTGCAATCAGTGTATGTACATACAAACATTCTTATGCAGAGATCAAATATTATTGCATACAGTATTTGTATATGCAATTACAGTATAGGTATCTGATACATACACATGTGTACATATTTATTTATAGCAGAAGCTTTTAATCATTTATGTCCAGTACTAAATATCTGTAAATAGCTCGATTGATATTCTTTGTGGTTTAAAAATTTAGAACCCAGCGTCTCCTCTTTTCCATTTTTTTTTATTTGTATGTACTGCACGTTCGTGACCTTTAGTGAAGCGTATGCACATATGTATCCCCACCGATCTCCAAAGCACTACACATTCAGTCAGACACGGGTTGGCCGTGAAAGATAATCCGAGTGGAAAGTTTTGTACCTGGAACGGTAAAATTTATGCCAGGGTTTCTCCATAGAAAGTAGAGCTCTAATATCTATGCAGCTAAGCAGTAGATATTATTGTTTCATGAGGATTCTCGCTTTATTCAATAATCACTAACCTCTAACCATATAATATTACACTTGGTCACCTTAAATATGTATATGCGTATGTAAGGGCATATATGTAGGCTGGTGCTGTATATGCACATGGAATAATATTTAACTACGGATATATTATTCAGACTCCAAGTGGAAAGCAAACTTCGCATTTTTAGCGACGTAAAATTACCCAGAAATGTATATCGCGTTTGTATACGTGAGCAAAAATTTCTTTGACCAGTGCGTATATACATATGCACGTCAGCAAAATTATCAATTTATCAATGTTTCAGGACCAGAACAAGTTTACACACACGATATAAATATGTATGTCTATGCATAAACATGTAATGAACTGCATCAATTAATTCATACATACACACGTGCATATCCTATGTATATACTCACAGTCAGTTAGGGGCCGTCCATAAATTACTAACGCAAGAGGGGGGGAGGGGGGGTCATGGGAAGCGCGTTACGAATTGTTATGAAGGGGGTGGGGGGTATAAAAAATTTGTTACGTAACACATTTTATAAACTCGACTAAAATTCGCCAAATACGATACGCCGAGCAGAGCATATTGAATTCATGTCATCCAAAAGGTTTCAGTGCATGCATGTAAATATACATTTTTCATTAGTTTTCCAGGTGTAAATTGAGAAAAGGTTGCATTACAGCGGAGAGTTTTAGGGCGGAACCGGTAAAGGAAGCGGGGGGGGGGGGGGGTAACGAGTCCATCGTTCATTCTGTTCTGTTACCAAGAAATATACCAAAATTGTTTTTTTATTTTTACATAGATATGTACAACCAGATCAATTCATTTGCTTCATTTTGAAACATTTAAGTGCAAAGTTGTCACAAATTTTCTAACTCAATCCAAAAAAGTTTGCGGTCAAACTTTGACATTAAATATCTCAAAATGGAGTAACCGAAATGATCTGGTTGTATAAGTAAAAATAAACTGGATTTTTGGCTTTATTTTGTGGTAACAGAATGAGCGATACCCCCCTTTCCTTTCATCGGTGCCGCCCCAAAATTCCCCACAATGCATTGCGAGTGCAAAGTAAATCACCTGCGGTGAAATCAAATTTATGTTACGTTACGAAGGGGGAGGGGGGTAGTTGAGTAGCGTTACGATGCCGTTACGAGGGGGGAGGGGGGGTCTAAAAAATGACGATTTTTGCGTTACGTAATTTATGGACGGCCCCTTATGCATATGTATGTATGTATTTAAAACTGATAAAGTGACACCTACGCAGGGTTAGAAAATTGTGAATAAGTTGATATTGTATGTATGTACATGCCAGTACAGATCCTAAATACAATACGTGAATCTTTGTTGGCAAATATCTATATAGGAAAATAATAAATTTTAGCTGGACTCTATGGTCTTATCAAATTGACAACCTATTTATGCTCACTGGTTAATACAAAATTTAATGGCATCATCCCATCTGCATAATTTATCACGATATCCTGCCCGACCAGGACAACTATTTTCAAGGCAAATGGCCGTTATGACGTCAATAATGAAAGTTATTGATTCTCATAGTAATATATTTCCAAGGCTTTTTATTACCCATATTTTGAAATTTTGAATCACGAATTTTGAAATCTCATTAAATACATAATCGAAAATTTACATTAATTGTACTTAGAATAAGGTTAACATGACATTAATCGTTAATTCGACCACAGTTCTCATAAATGTGTTAAACGTTGACATTTTGAAGTAATATGCCGCCCCCACTTGTATCCTTAGGCAACGAATTGATCTTCCAATCGTTCTCCCACGCCTCGACGCCTGGCGGCAAATTCCTTGTCGAAACTTGTCCGAAACCTCGTAAACATCTGCGGCTCCTTTTACAGCGGTTTTTTCGAATGATGCAAAAGCACACGTGCTCATTAAGAGGAGGATTGGGACGGGCATTTGCAACTTGTGGAAACACTTGATCGCCAAGACGTTCGTCAAGGTGTGAATCGTGGCTAAAACTTGTTGCGCAACGGGCCAAAGTATTTCCGAACATGTTTCGTTTTGGACGCAATTTAGGACGTGCAGGGTTCTGTAAAGGCAGAGATTTTTTGTGTTTAACCACGGTCTTGTGAGGCTGTTGGTCGAGTTGTTTCTGGAAGTACAAAAATTCACTCTATTAACAAAACTGTCACCGAAGCTGTAAGCCGAAACATGTCATTTATTGAGTATTGATACCGAAATGCAACAATGTTTGTTAACAAAATTCAAATTTATGATTCTGCGGTGCAAAACTGACTCCAGTTTATTAGAAAATTTAAATTTTCCACAATCATTTTTATATGTATGTACGTGGTAATGAACTCATGAAATGTTTCCAACGATTGGGAATTTTGCTACCGCATTAATTAAAGACATTTCAAGTGACTAATGTCGTAATATTTTCGTAATCTTACAATAAAACCGCCAACCAATAACGGGTTGTTTGAGTGTAAACAACAAGTAAAGTTGCCGCATATCCGGCGCCAAAGTCCGCAATGTAACTGATGTACAGCTCGGCGAAGGCAAAAAGTATGATTCCTACAATTAAGAAATTTATAATGATGGATGACTGTAAAATTTAGTATTTTTTTGCAAATACCGAATAAAGAGTTGTAAAAACTAGGAGGAAGTAATCGGCTTCCCCAGTAACGAATACTTTGTCTTTCCTGTAAATATTGGATAGGAGGGCCTAGCGGTTGAAAATGAATGGTTAGCGAGCCAAGTGCGAGGCAAATTAAAATTCCATCCTGAATTACGAAGTGACGGTCCCCGTGGTAAACGCCTAAGAAAAAAACATACATAATTTAATTCATCCTCCTGATCTTAAAATTAATTTTAATTTCAATTAGATAAGTCATCAAATGTTCATGCATTTCGTTAGGCACAGAACGTTTGTAACCTTCCCAAAACCAGCAAACTTGCCAATGGGTCAACTATTTACTTTTCATTGACTAAACAAAATCAGCTATTTTTAACTGTTCACGTTTTATAAGTAAGTCGCATTAAGTAACCAGTATCTACCCAAGACAATTCACTTACCTGTTTGCAACTCTGTAAACTCTTTCAAAAAATGGTTGCATTAAGTTTACACAGGTTACATAAAAAGGTAAATTATCTTAAAACTGTTTACAAATTTGCATATGGAGCTCAGCCTCATTTTGTACATGCATGAAAGCTTTCAGAAAACTTTGCAAAACTTGGTAGCCTTTATTGGTTACGCAACATGCCAGTTAATTGCCTCAGTGTAAATAAAGAGTAAAAAACTATGACTTCAAAACACAATTTAGTAAAACCGAGTCACCTTTCAGTTTCCGATGTATCCTACAAATCTGATTGAATAATCTCATCGATGATTCATAATTCTCTAAAAATCCGTAAATCAGCCCACAAGCGGCCAACCGAGTTAATCCATGCAGTAGAAGTTTAATGATATCATCGACTGGCGTGGTGTGATAATTCAGCGTGAAAATGTTGACCATTTGATACCCCGTGTCCATCATGAGGTAGGCCAATGCACAATACCAAATCGCATTTTTTACTCGATTAGTCCCATATTTTACACTTCTTGTGCAGTCCTCCCACTCGACCGGGAACAAACAAAACTTCTCGGCAGTCCGCATTCCGATGCAAAACCAGGTTTCCCACGCTCTTAACGAGTTGACTTGGAAGGCCAAATTCCTGTAACGGAGGGACCAATTGGGCAACATTTTGGCAACTTTATTCCAAAACAGAATGGAAATTGCGCACTTTGTAGAAATCACTTTGTACTGGTAATACATTTCTGGGCACGTAGTCCTAAGTTAATTTAAGACAGTGAAATTGGACCGGATACGCGAATTAAGGAATTTAGCGAGAACTAATGGCAGAAAAAAATCATTGAATGTTAAGCATGGCGGTGGTGAAGTTTGAAATGCTATTTAGCATGTATTCCTAGGCTCATGAATGCATTGAATTGATTATTGATTAATATACATAGTCTCGTAGGTAGGAGAAGTAGGCAGGAGAAGTATGAAGAATAAATTATTATTACTTATGATGTTTATGTATAGAATAGAAAAAATAGTTTTTGGACAGGATGGACATTGCTAATGCTTGATCAAATTATGTTTTTTTCTCTTTACTTTCAATACAAAATAATCCAGCTATTTTGAAGGCTATTATGAAGGCTTAGTGCTTATGTATGTCTGTACGAATAAGTATCTACATACATAAGTATGTGTACGTATGTATGTATGCATATCTTTGATTACATATGGTAAATACATACATACATCCTAGGTTAGACAAACTGTCCTTAATTCTTATACATAATATGTATATTTATGTATATGCAATAGTCAACAGTTATTTAAACATTTTTACAAATTTTGTATCATTTGCAGCAGAAGAGAGTAATTGACAACTGAAACCCCTTGAACGAGATTTTTTGATGAAGAGGGATTATGTACAATGCATTAAATATTGTGTTGTAAGCATAAGTATACTAATTATTACTAATCGACAGAACTTAGCGTTTAACAATTTTGCTAGAATTATAAATATAACTAGCATTTATTACGCAACTGAAAAAATCGGTATTTTTATGCCACATGAAAATTTGCCTGGCAAAAATTCGCTATTTTTCTACTTTATAGTTAGTTCATGTAATTTAAAATTAACTGAATTAAACTTGAAACATTATTTCAAATCGTTAAACAATCACGAAGTAGTTAATTGCGTATGGGTTTTTTAAAATATTTTTTAAGGGTATGGTTCTGTGACATTTTAGAGAAGCTACATTGTAGTATAAGTTGTATTCGCAGAGATGTATGTGTACATATTCTATTGAGAAAAAAGCTAAACGACCAGCGCCACTACATCATACGTACATATGTACATACATCATCAACCACACATACATATCTATGATGTACATACATACTTAGGTACATCATAGATAGTGCGGATACCGTTTTAATATGTATGGCACAATGGATTAGATTGATCAGATTCATTCAGAGAATGGATCAGATTCTCATGAATCAAAAATGCCGTAATTATTTAGTCCCACTTTATTGCGACGACTAATTAACTTTAGGAAATTTGTTTGTTGCATGTATATTAATATTTACGTACATATAATATGTGTACATAACATGTTGCAAATGATTTAGTCATAATTAATACTTGTGGCTTGTCGCTTGTCAAATGTATGATAATAAAAACAGAAAGCACTCTTTGTTCCTAATTTCATCCCATTGTACATATATTTCCGAATTATCATACACCACATAAATATGCAATTATGGGTACATGATTCTGTTGCCACAACGTAAATTATTGATATTAGATTTTCTGTAGAAAGTTGACATTTACCAAATTATCAATTTCATTACCGAATTATCCCGTCGTGGAAGTTGACGTTAATAAAATTACGATGAATCAATATTCCTGGAAACATGTGACGTTAGCTTTTTTGGTAACTCCCACAATATTTAAAATTTGAATGTCATGAAAGTTCATATCTATAATTTGATCATTTAAAAAATGTACGTTTGTAGCTGTTCGCAAATTCTCATGCATTGGGATTAGTCCTAGTCGATTCTGGAGTTAAGGCTAACCTTACATATGTAAGTAATTAAAAAATAAATTTACACATTTAATTTTTACGCTAATTGTGGGGTTCAATTTGGTTATACATAATTTATCATTGAGGCAATTCACTTCAAGTATGCAAGTATGCAATTCACTTGAAATATGCAAGTTTTGTAAAATAATTTTACAAACTTTTACAAAATAAAAAGACCCTTTCTTTTAATAATTAAAAAATTTGTAAGCCAATTTTTCAATATAAATCTAAATTGATTATAGAATATTTGGAAAATTTTGGAAAAGTTTCCAGAATTTACGAATTTTACAATATTACCAAGTCCTGTGTGAATTGCCTCATTCATATATTTCAAATTTGTAAATTTCGAGGTAAATAAATACTGCCATTGGTCAAATTATGACTACAAGAACGTTACAAAACAAAATAATTGCCTACAAAAATGTTACAAAATCTGTCGAGTCATTTAAGTACAGTCAGTTTCTCTAACAGATTTATACCGAATTATGCAGAGTATTTCTTTCGTGACGAATCGTCACTGACGATTTTATTACCAATTTGAGACATATATTAAGAATTTCTGTGAATTTGACGTGAACTCGCCTAATTTCTTTCCTTCCCTCAGCAACCACGCCAAGAAGATGGTGGCGTGGAAACGACGGGCGAAACCTTGAACGGGGTGGGCTCCCTACTAACCAACATTTTTAACGGGATCGCACAAATCCCAGTCACCACGATAAACGCGGTGCTAAAACCTCTCGCAACGCAACAAGAGCAACAACAACAGCAATTACAGCAGCAGCAGCAACTCCTCTCCTTGTCGCAAAATAATGTCATCCCCACAAACGGAACGGTGGGTGGGGTGGGGGTGCGACAACAAGCCCTCACACAGCAACAGTTCGGGCAACCAGTCTTCCCTGCACAAACGTCGACCTCGACGACGGTAGAGCCCACGACGGACGAGTCAGAGGACGGCGATGAAGATGAAGACGGGGACGTGAAAGACGGGGGGAACGACGGATTAAAGAAATTTAAAATTTGAGATAATTAAGTACATATAAGAAGGATTTATAACGTTGTCTCAATAAAGGGAGTGATGATTTCTAATACACGCCCATAAATTATTTGCATAGATAGATATGTACACATGCACACATACGAATAAGCATTTGCAAATGATACACATATGTACATTGTACATACTTGCAAATATTCAGAATTCACCTCAATTAACTTAGAAAACGGTGACAGATAAGTCAGTATTTAATTTTTTAATTAAAAGGTACTACATATGTACTTACGTACGTCTTAAAATAATGCATGCACAAAAAAATTGCATTGCACATAAATACTTAATTAAGTAAGTATAATTATTGCATCATAAAACCAAGTGATTGAAATGTGCAAATTACGTAATTCATTTAATTCGCTAATTTTTTGCGCAGCATAAAAGCCATCTATGCAATATGTATACATATGTACACGTAGGTATTTAATATGTACTGATCTTAATAACGAAACTCGGATTTATGTATGCAAACGCTGCATGTACATATGTACAGCTTATGTATCTATAAAATATCCATTGTTGAATTAGTCGATCTATCTGTACTTTCTAGTTCTGCTCTGACCTGTGGCTTAGGAACTGGACATGCACTAGTGTCATAAGTTGTCAGCCAACTTGTGTTAATTTCTTGGGCCCTTAACCCAACCAAAACTTGGTCCAACGTATCCTGTGGTATTTCTCTTGTTCGGGAGAAAATCCATAAAAATTCTGTAACAGTACAAAAAACTTTTGGAATACGTTATATTATAAATAAATTGGAATAATTTTACTCACGAATATTCACACTCCCAATAGATTTACACGTCCATTCGACCGTGTACGTGGTATAATCTGTACTCACAATGGAGGCGCAAACTATGTTCAGCCCAAATTATTTTTCGACCATGTTATTTTGGAGGAGCAAGTCTCTGGAAACAACATTTGGTTCACCACTTGCGCAGATGCGCAAAATTCAGCAAGTTATGGGCGCCACAATTTCGCAAAAAGTGATCGAGAGTGAGCTCGCGCTGGACCTTGCATCAAAAATCATGCGTTTTTGCGAACTTGTGCATAACGTGCTGAATTTTGCGCATCTGCGCAAGTGCCAAACCAAATGTTGTTTCTAAAGACTTCCTCTTCCAAACTAACATGGTCAAAAAATAATCCCGGATGAACATAGTTTGCGCCTCCATTGTCAGTATCCAATACGGCATCCTAAGCGTCACTGTAAAAAATTAATTAATAAATGCTTTTAATTACTAGTAAATATGTAAATTTAATGAAATCTCTTATTTGTTGTACAAGCGAAATCCCACAAATTTGGCTGAATCGGGACATGATTATAAATCGAGAGGAATGAATCCGCATTAAGATAACCACTCCCATCCGTGCTTAAAAGTGAAACTCTGGCTGGAATTGATCTCTCGTAGCCAGAGCTAACCAACAAATTAAGTTATACATTCAATTCGTAACATCAATTAGTGATAACTTTGAACTTAAATTACAATCGTTCAGTAAAGTTTTGAAATCCGTTCCATGTCCCGTCAGCCTCTGGACGAGAATAGTCCGCTAATGCGCAGGAAAATGATTGAACAAATGGTGATCTGTACTTCTGCACGAGATTCCACACTCCGGAATACTAAACAATTTGTGAATATTTAAGCAAAATTTTAGTTAATCACTACATAATGTAAATTAGTGGTACACATTTAGTGCTAAAATGTGAATAAAATTGTGTAGTATGGTTAAACTAAATATAAATATTGTTCATAAAAAATGTAAATATGTACCCGATTCCTGTCCAGATTTGGAACTGGGGTCGGTGTCGGACATGGTCCGTTAAAAGGCAATTGTGCTCCAATCTGACTAATATCAAGTACCAGAATTGTACATGAAAACGCACACCAATTAAAACTGGGATAATGCATATTGCTTAATGTCTCAGTGCTTGAAAAATAGAAATTGGATGCAAAAATTAGGTAGATTGTTATACGAACCAGACCAGAACAAATAATGGACCCTGGTAAAGGAGAAGGGACGCATGAAATCTGTAAGAAAACAAATCTGGGTCGAAATTGTGGGCAGAAAACCGTTTCGGTAACGGGTCATTTATTTTGAGAGTGAGTGGATATTTTTATCATTGGTCCATTCCTCCATTAGAAAACTGTAAATAAATTACACTTAAGAATATTGTGCTGGATATGCATCGCGGAGGATGTGGAAGATGAAGATTCGACTGACAAATATGTTAATACTTATGAATGCATTTCTCTGTCGAGAAGAGACTAAATAATGATAAATATATATTTATATGTAAGTAAATATGCATGATGAAGAATGCGAGACTAATCTTGATTTTTTTTATGGCTAGGAAATTTCCCCTGTTTTCTCGGTACAAAAATAAACAAGTTAGTTATGTAATTGCGTAAAACTTAGTATGTACGTAACTGGGCGATGGAAATTCATGTGTACGTCATTCTTGTATGCAAATTTTCATCTATTTTCTCCAACAAGTACGACGGCAACTTTTATGTTCGTTTGTTATTTAATTTTCACTCACCATCTTTTTCGTCTATGTATTATGACTGCATGATTTAATTTAATTGTCATTTTAGCACCAATTAATAATACTGTGGGTCTAGACAGGTACACATGTATGTAGTATCAATACAGTTATGCATGCACTTACAGTCGGATTAATCCAGTTGGTCCGGTTTATTTAGTAGTACGTACATAATTGTACCAGTTAAGAACGGGTTCAATGAAATCGTAATCCACACAATAATATGTATAAATATGTACATAAGAGAGGTGACGACCACTTTTGACAGCATTGAGTTTTTCTTCCGTTGAACGCATAGCTGTTTTGGTCGAATTCTATTTATATTTTTACAGAATTGCAAAAAAAAACGAAAACTTTTCCAATATTTGGTCCTCTCTCCGATAATAAGAGCGTACCTTCCTCCATGCTAAGGTCAATCCTCGGCATGGACTTGGTCACAGTGATCCTTGTCATGTTCTATCCGGCTCTCGTGACCCCGTGTGACCTTGTTCCATTGGGCCTCCATTCTTGCCTTGACCTCACGAGTACGGCGCACATCAGCACACAGGACACACACTTTGGCCGTTATATCGAAGGCTCCAGTACAAACAGTAAGGGTGAAATGTTTGCCGTAAATTATGGAAATGATTTCACGCTTTATACTCTGGGTAAGTTTTTTTAAAGAAACTGAAAAATAAAATCAGTGGCAAAATCATTGAGATAAAATTCTGAAGATTAAAACAAAATTATAACTAATTCCAAAATTTATTTTTCGCATGTAGGTCAATTCTATCCGCAACAACGTCTCTTCTACGCAGACCCTGTGCCACACACACACTTTAACGGGATAAGGTTTCTCAACGATAATACGGCATACACCGTGGACGCTGCGAACCATCGCGTCCTTCAATTAACGGTTTGAAATAGATGCGTAATTTTGCAAAAATATTTACAAAAATATTTGTTAAAATTTGATATAATTAAAAAAACATTTCAGGTGAACCAGTATCCCAATGGTCCACCAACGGTGGTGGGGTCATCCGTTTTCTGCGGGGACGCCACCATGATCGAGCCAAATGACCTAACCCTGTCCAAATTTGGCACCGTTTTTACGTCGGGTATTTACTCTCTTAAGTATTTAAAGTTATTAATTATGAATTGCTAGAAATTAAATTAGGAGTGATTTAGGGATGAGAATGCTTGCGGACACGGACGATACTGATGGGGATATTTGGAGCTGTCTGCAAAATGGAGAGGTTAGCAAACTATGATAAGTTAATTAAGTCTGGTATTATGTCGAAATTGGAATTTTTTAGGGGATACATCCAGATTTTGTGAAATTAAAAAAAAATTATATTGCGCGTACTCACGATAACCGTCGCATATATGTGCATATATCTCGCAAATTGAATATAGATAACGTGAGAAGTTTTACGAAATTTGGGAGATTTTGCAAAAGTTTTGCATGGAATTTTTTTTGCAAGTTTACCCAGCAAATGGGTATGTTTTAATTTATTTTATAAAAAAGTTATTTTCCAAAGTTATTTTCCAAACATATAGCTATCACCAGAGATAGAAATTATAGAAATCCGCGGAAACAACATAAGTATTCGTTGTAAAAGTATATAAATTTGCAAAATTTGTGAAAAAAATTTGCCAAAAAATTTCGAAAATATAAACTCATATTTTGCGAATTCCTTCATGACACGAATTTTCAGACCATTTCAAGTTTTTCATGTGAGTTGTGATGCGAAATAAGGCGTAGTGAGTACTCTCATTTTTTACCAGAACCAAACTAAACTATTTACGTATTATAATTATCTGTTGTCTCAAAAATTAAGACAGTTTTAATAGGTTAAACTTTTAGAGACCATGGGTCGCACCAACGGAATCGAGCTCTCCCCCGATGATACTAAACTATACGTTTCCGAGTCCTACAACAGGGGAGGAACACCATACGTTCAAAAAATTTGGCTTTATGATGCCGACGTTACGAGCGGAACAATTTCTGGAAAACGTCTCTTTGTCGACTTCTCCCTTCTCGACGGTACTCAAAATTTCGACATTGATGGAATGAGGACTGACGTGGCTGGGAATCTGTGGGTCACTCGACACGGTGCCGGACAAGTCGTTGTGTTCAATTCGACAGGTACCAAATACTATCGTAAATTAATATTTACTAATTAATAATTAATTAATTACCGGTATCAATTCATAGGGTCTGTTATCGCTCGAGTGCGAATCACATTCCCAAATCCGACCAACCTTGAGTTTGGAGGACCTGCAGGAAGGACCGTCTACATCGTTGGAAAATGCGAAGGGGCTAATACCGGATGTATTGATAGACTAGAAGTCGTCACACCGGGAAGGTCATGGTCTAATTTGCAGCCATTCGGCTCCAGTACGGAAGGCTGCTGGTGTCCCGAGTGAGTCGAGATACTTTGTGGGGAATGGTATTTGGAAAAACTTTACTACTAAATCAGGTCCACATTAAGAGGAAAAAAATATTGCCAAATAAACTCGTTACTTTTTAAACAATTACCTTACCGTTATCAGGATATTATTCTAAAAAAATCTGTGCAAATTTCATAGAATATGCAATCCAGAAAAATAACTTTGTTACATCATAACCGACAACAAAATGCAAAAACGTAGAATCAATTTCGAGCGTGAAGAACAACAAGTCATTTCAATTATATACACATATAGACGTGTCAATATGAATTCGGGCCAGTAATGATTTAATACCAGTTGTGTAAGAATGTGCTAAAATTAGCTACATTTTACATATCTGCACACATACATATTGCGGAAGGCTGAAGGGTGACGAATTTTTGAATTTCTTGGAAAATTATTCTATCCGTGGGTACTCGTGGGTTTTTTGTGGGCAAATCATTTACTGGTACATATCTGTATATGCATGGATAATTGATGCAATGAATCTATTTGTGCAGCGTGTTGAACTATCTTTCCAGAAACTACGCTTCAACCTCGGACCCAGTCTGTAGTTTAAAACAATTAGTGAAGCATTTATTTATTTGTAAAGCATTAATCTTTCCTTCTTCCAAGAAAGTTGTTCCTCTGAGCAAACAATAATTAGTCTAGTTCGCAATGAAGGAAAATTCAATTTTGTGTTTTACTTGCACGCCTTCTATAATTTCAATGTAAAGTCGTGCAAATATTCTGTCCAAGCGGAGGTTATTAGCAATTCTTTCAAATCAAATGATTCGTTAGAATCCCCGAAATAATTTCATGATTGCTTTGCAAACTTGTTTTATAACTATTTGGATTATTACTTTCTTGACCCTCGTGGACCTTAGCCATTGGTAAAAATTTGAAGTCAACAAATATGGCCAAACTACAATTTTATTCCTGTTCGCATTTCAATTCATCATGTCCACCTTGCACCAAGTTTTGCTCCCACTGGTGCAAAACTACTTGAGCAATGCTCAGAAATATTGCTGCCTACCGTTTAATTGGGATTCTGAACAGGGAAAAATAGTGCGATCAGGACGTGAAACTCGGTCATTGGTCATATTCGGTATAATTGTTCATTTTATATATGTCACCATGCAAATCGTCGTCTTGTGGAGGAAACCATTCCCATTAATCGAAAAACTTGAGGGGGTCGTCATTATGTTTGTATATTTGGCCATGTTAGTGTTTCGGATGGATTTTAAAGCAGATTATGGTCCAATGATCCTTCTCAATATGATATTGGCAGGAGAGAGCGAAAAATCAGGTAAAAGTTTAGCAAAGACTGGCACAATTTATTGGGTTACACAGTGAGGCAATTCACCAAGTCATTGGTAAAATGTGAAACCCGTAAGTTTTGTAACATAATTTTGCAAACTGTTATAAAATAAAAAGACGCCTTTGATCTGAAGAATGTGCGCGAATTGTCTGTCATTGATATCGACGGACAAATTCGCACAATATTTTGGAAATGAAACGTGTATAAATTATTTATTATAAACATTTCAGGACTCATAAAAATTAACAAAACGTTCCTGAAATGTCTGAAAATATTTGGTCAATTGAGTCACCTTGTCACCTACTTATTTCCAATTTTCATAACCATCATCGGTCTCATCTTTCCCTGCAAACCACCCCTCCTGGGATCCATGGTTAACAAGTTGGACGACAATTGCGACCTTTACTACTACAACAGCTTCTGTCTCTCCATGAAAACCGTGATGATCGCAATTTTAGAATTTCTCATCGCTAAACAAGGAACGATTTGCGGCCTGCACTACGCCATCTATTGCCTTCTCATTGCTATAGTCTATCTCACCGTAAAGTCCAACAACCTGAATGGCGGGAAAGGTGCCGTCCTTTCCTTTAGGGAGGTACAAGTCCTAGAAAAAGTTGTCAACGATAACATCCGTGACAGATTGTTGCCCGTTACGATCTGTGTGATTCCGGTGGTTCAAATATTCGCGGGGTTTGTCATCGTAAAATTGGAGGGTGAGGGGAAAGAATGGCTAAAAGTGGGAATGTTTGCCTTGGTTTATTCCGAGGTCCTTGTTTTCAACTTGGTTTCCGTGTCATCCGCGGCGGTCGTGCATAACGTGACGGGAAGGTGGTTGGAAGGTCGGAGGTCAAGATTGGCGAGATTTTGGGGCATTCGTGGCTGTGGGAAGAAGACGATGAGGAGGTATTGGAAGTCCTGTTTGGCGTTGAGGTTGTATTTTTGGAGCAACTACGTGGACAGATTGACGCCGCTGATTGTACAACAATTTTGTGTGGTGCAGACGATGTCGCTAATTTTGTTGAGTAGGTGAATGAATAAATAATTGGTTTGGAGGCTGAATGAATATGTTGTAGTGATATTTAATAAAATTAATTATGGGTAAAATTATTGCATTTATTTCGTTTCATTATTTTTTTTACTTGAATCATAACAGGAATGGTTAAGAAAGTCATGCATGTAGATATTCAATAGGTACGAAAGTATGTACATAATAGATAATTAACCGCACCGCATCGATTTCAGTCTGAATCTATACGTCTGAATGGGCCAAATTAATTTTGATGAACCCCTTGACTGAGCTAATTGATACTGTGAAAAATTAGTAAATAAAGTAATTGAGATATTGCTAATGTTTAATTTGCGAAATTATAGTGTCATGTAAGCTGATGGGTATCGATCCAAATTTAGTCCAGGAAATAGTGAAATACATACTTATGTACATGTATGTACGTATATGCAATGTAAATATAGTATACGCAATTCGTGTAAAATTCTGAGGAATTTCAATTAATCGTCGTAACGTATATAAATATTTAATGTGCTTTATTTCACAAATGCTCAATAATTACACATTCTTTAGGCAGGACAATACTGCATAGCAAAAACAATTTTGTGTGTATTTAAATACCACCAAGAACCACACATGCAAATATTTAAATACATGCATACATACGTAATTATACTTGAAATTTTTACCTTCGTCTGTAATACAGAAATATATTTAATTATGGATGTGTAATTTCTCACAATTCTAGGGTATCCAGGAGCGTAGGTTTATTTATGTACAAGTATTGATACTACACTTATACAATTGGTAGCTTCAGTTCAATTCAAGTATACAAAATTCACCCAATTCAATTTTAGCTGAATTTAGTGAACAATAAATGCCTATTTAATCAAATTATGCATTAATTACTCAATAAAATTAGCGACATTGTCTGCACAGAACAGAATTGTTGTACGATGAGGGGTGTCAACCTATCGACAAAGTTATTCCCCATCCTGAGTTTCAATGGGGGGCAGGACCTCCAAAATTTTCTCATCGCCTTCGTCCCATGTTCCCCACTTTCCCTTAATTTTTGAGTTTTCAACCAGTCCATCGATTTGTTGCAGATGTTGGCCGCGGACGAAACGGTGATCAAATTGAAAACCAGCACTTCCAAAAAGACGAGACCAAACATGGCCAACTTCAACCAATTGATCCCACTCGAACTCAGTTTGACTATGGCGAAACCCGCGAATATTTGAACTATTGGGATAAACCCCATCGTAACGGGGAACAGACGCCATCTGATGTTTGCATTGACAACCCGCTCTAAAACCTGGACTTCGCGAAACGCCATGGCTGGATTTTTCGTACGAGATAAGGATTCACACTTTATCGACAAGTAAATTATGCCCATGAGGAGAGAATAGATTGCGTAATGCAGGCTGGAAATGGTTCCCTGTTTCGAGACTATGAATTCGAAAGAGGCCACGATTAGTTTTTGCAGATTGACGCAGACAATGTAGTTGTACGATCCGCCACATTCTTCCAAGTTTTGGTGTAACATGGATCCCATTAAGGGCGGTTTGCACGGGAATAGGAGAGCCATGCAGGTTATGAAATATGGAAACGCGTACGTCACGAGTTTGCTGAGTTGGCAGAAAAATTTGACACCTTTTCTGAGAGCGGGGTCCATGTGTAAAGCTGAGAAAAATAAAATGTTTTTACATCATAAACGTAGTCGAAATCAGAGATCGACGGCGACCATCTTTGTGACGGCACAAATTTTGTTGATTTTTTCGGCCTCGTGTCGAAATGTGAGGGTAAGTACTCAGAGGTTTATTTGGTACGAATTTTGCAAAACGAACTACACATAAATACATACGTATACTCAAATTCAGCATTTACCCAAAATTTTGCGACTTTTGAAATTTCAAAATTTTCGAAAACTCTTATTAACAAAAGCAGGGTTTTTTTCGTGAAGGATTATTTTTGAAACTGTGCTGAGTCTCAAAAAGATCTGGATACGTAACTATGTGGGGAACGACTTTCCAAGTCATAGGGAGAGGTGGATTTGGCAAAAATTGTAATGCCCCTGCCGGGTTTCGACTTCCCGATTACATGTCAGGCGTGCTTACCATTACACTACGAAGGCATTGGCAATTCCTACCCACAATCCACCTTCTCTCTATCCCACTTCGTATTTATTCTCTCACAACTATCATTTGCTTACAAAAATATGTTTTCAAAATTTATTTGGCTCGTGTATAAGCCCGTCTCCCGCCGGGCTAGAGCTTATTATTTGATTTTCGCTAAAATTAAGTCGGATTGTTCATAATTCCAGCGAATCATTTTTTACTATATAATTAGCTAGAAACACCTGTTGGCGAGGGAAGTGAAGCTTTCTCCATTTTTACTTCCGTCACGGAAAATTACTTTCACTTCCGTTGCAGACTAACATTTCCAGCTTATAATATAGATCTTTTTTCCAAAACTTGAAAGATATTTAGAATTTTACCCGATTTCTTATCACTCGTCAAAACCGTGTTGAGTAGAATCATCGGCCCGAAATCAGCTCCAATATCGAAACGGAATAAAAACATTGCTGAATACGTCAGCATAATGACGACACCTTCCAACTTTTCGGCCAAGGGGAATGATTTCCTCCAGAGGGAGATGACTTGAAGGACAACGTAGACGAAGTGAAGGACGCCGCTGAGGAAGACAAGTATCCGCCCCTTCCGATTGGATGGGACAACTTTCCCCTTTCTAGGGTCCCAAATAAACGGAACACAGCAGTATTTTTGGGCATTTTGCAAGTACTGAACAACAAATGGGATCACGGTTTGTTGCAATGTGGTCATAATTGGTTTTTAGCTAAAAGTGTGATTTCATACATATGACATACGATGCGTCGTTGTTTGTCTGAGCTTTGGGAATTGTCATACGTAAAAAAAACTCACTAAAAAATCCTAAAATCAAGCAAAAATTGAAAAAAGCATTTAACAAATTAATCCTGAGCCTTAATATTCTATTTTTATTCTATTTTTGAAGTCGCGAAAAAATTTGAAGAGTTACAGGCTAAGTACATTAAGTTTCAAAACCTCTAATTTGGGTTAAAGTTATTTTGAAAATTCTTCAAATTAAGGCGTTAAATAAATACAAAACCAAAAGTTGGTAATGGTAACCTGCACTACCCAGCGAAATTGACCCCGTTGAAGTCTGTAGCCGTTGGAAACTCGGAATTTTTAATATAAATGAGCTATTCAAGGATTTAGAGAAAAGTTTGAAAAGTGCAAATGGTTTAGAGATTCATGAAGGTATGTCTGCGGTTTAGTAAAAACTGAAAATGAAAGTGGATTATGGTTTAGCAAAGAAAAACACGTAATTAACCTTTCATAGAGAAAGTCGTCATTACTGAAATTATCAAGTGCACTGGGTGACTGCGTGCCGCGTTTTGCGTAAACTGTTGTTATTTTAGCGTCTTAATCTGGATAGATAAATAGATCAATTTAGGATGAATCGATAGCTAGCTCATTCCCTCCTGTAGAAATTGAAGGCCATATTTTGTCAATGGTTTTTCGTTCGTACATATATGCACAATCTTCAGAATCATTGGGTTGACCCTGGATTGCTGACGCGTATGGCTGGATAGAACTCGGGCGTCATAAATATATTTATACTGCCTTTAATCTGATATTTCGAGGCAGGAATAAGTTAATAATGCCGGGATGCATGGTGATATTCTGTAATTAAAATTGGGTGAACTCACGTCGAAGTAATTTTTCTTGTCGCAATTCATTTAACAAACAAGTAGTTGGTATATGGTGTTTAGAAAAAAAATCCTACATATTTACTGAATAAGCTTGTCAAAAAATGCTAGGTTTAACAGTAAAAACTTTTGAGATATTCTATATATTTACATTGGTATGCTCAAATTGTGAGATTTACGAGCTATGCAAAATCAGGTGATCGTAAGTAATTTTTGCTGTAGAGTTATGAATGTGTTTTTTTCCAGAAATGTGCTTAATACTACTAAATCTAGCATAGTCAGAATACGTACAGGGTGGTTTAAATATCTCGCAACAATTGAAAACTTGCCAATAGGGAAAATTCGGAAATTTCCATTAGTTACAGAAATTTGCCTATGGAAAACATTTTAAGAATTTTGTCACCAGTTTTCCATCAGTTTTGATAATAATTAATAAAAACCAAACTCCAAATCCAAATCCTCATTACAAATGCAACGTTTGCAAAATTTGTCATTGTAGAGACACATCTAAATCACCCTGTACATAAATACATATGTAGATATTCATGAAAGCAAGTCTTTAATCAAGACCAAGGTTTTATTAGCTTGAGTTTTTTTGGGGTTTACCCCGGAACTAGAGTAAAATCCCAGTAAAATAAAAAAAAAACGCAGTAAAACCCCGAAGGTATTGATAAAGCCCGGGATTTTTCCTAACCTTGATCAAGACGGGTTTTCCATAGTTTGATTCATAAATATGTATGTACGTGCATTTTACCGAGCACACAGGCATTTATGGAAGCCGTACCTTACCTCAAGGCAGAGAGGGTAAGTATCCTGCTTTCTAGCTTTCTCCGTAATTGGCCCTCCCTCAATTTACGCAATAAATGAGTCAGTAATGTCGTAATATAATTGTTACTTTTTAAAAATTCATTAACGTTGCTAGGCAAATTATTGCTATATAGAAATTACTGAATGATTGAGTTTTGCACAAACTAAATAATTCGAGGAAGCATTTCAACATTTTAAGAATTTTGTTATTGTATTGATTTAGTTTTGATATTAGAGTTAAATAATTAATAAAAATCTCAACCCTAAATCCTAACTAATGGAAATTTAAGTATGTTTTCCGTTGTAAAATTTGCCATTGTTTGTAACGACATATTTAAACCACCCTTTATTATTTTTTGCACTGATTACGGTGCAACACATAAATAAGACGACATAGTGACAACCAGCAGAAATTAGGGTTACATCTTAATAATCTATAAAGTTCTGTTATCACATATTTATTTACAATGAGGGTATTCATTATTTCTTCGTATCCTTAGTATCCTTCGTATCACAAAATAACTTACGACGCTTACGAGATTTTGTAAGATTTTGCCATCGAAAATCACGTTACTGCGCTTACGATTCTTACTAAACCTGACCCCATGTTTTATCTTCGTAAACTCTTTTGCGACATTAAGGATACGAAGAAATAACGAATACCCTGAATATCACATGTGAGCTTACATGATTGAACTTTGCCTTCCAGTCTGATCACGTAGTTATTGCAAAGTTCAAATTCATCCGCATAGATTGCAAACGACAATTCGGTGACTAATGCTTGCGTTACCAACAATAAAATGTGTAGATTTACTAATATTTCGAGAAAGGTTAGCTTACTGAACCCAAACACGTGGGCAGAAAGTAGTAGAAAAAGGGCGACAGGTACCGATCCGAGCGTCGCCATGGATAACAAATAAAAAATCATCTTTGGCGATTTTGGATTAGTAGCAAATTTCTGGCTCGAAGGAACCCACTCGAACGGGTGCGGCCAGAAGTGGGAGTAGTATTTTGAACATAAATCAAGAGAAGACCACAGCAATCGTGTAACAATCATTTTTAAAAATTATTTTCTCTTTCGAACAGATATTTATTTGAAAGCGTTGCCTTTCGAATAAAAAGTTGTTGCAGGGTTTATTTATCTTCTGGTCCCGTAAAGTTTTTCACAAATGTTTTTTTCAAGCACAGCAGAGGACTTTAATATTATAGTAATTTTATGTATTTACTGCCAAATACCATAATCATGTGTTAGTATAAAAAAATTAAGTAGGGAAGATTTGCATTCGAATTATCTCATGAGATTACACCAAATTGACTACTTATGTATATTAATTTGTAGCCATTCAAACAATGTGAGTTCCATATTTTCTACTTACATATGTATCCTTGGCCCTTGGACTGAATTATGTAGAAGTGCAATTACATATTAAATAGTTTTCTGTACTTTCAGGGTTAAAATGATAAAACTAAATTCACCTAAAAACAGATCTTATCAAAGTATAAACAGCGAATAAGCACAGCCCAAAATCATATTAATTATAATTGCAATAGCCCGATCACAATTTATACTTGTGAGTTTTAAAGCAGTGCATACAATTATGTATTATGAATTATAGTTAATTAAACGGAAACAGCATGGAACTTATATGCATACTTACTGCTAACTGTGCCTGGCATCGAAATTCATCCAAACTGCTACACATATATGTCTACATATGTACATATCTATGCACAAATTTTGGATTTATTGGATATTTACTTTCTAAAAATATTATTTATGGTCTAATTTCTAGTGTAAGTTTAAATCATCGTCGTTACGGGCTTGCAAAGTAAAACCGCTTAAACATATGTACTTATCGAAACTCTAGGGTAGTGGTTTTATGGACTGAAACTTGGGATTTTTCTTGAACAAAACGGTTTTTGCACGGTTTATACACGGCAGATACATTTATTTGGTTACACATTCTTCTAGTCTTGTCATGATATGCATAATTGTTACGTTCTAAAAACTCATGAATTTTTTTATTTGGGCAAATTATTGCGATATAAAAATTACTGTATGAGTGATTTTTTCACAACCCATATAATTAGGTGCGTGGAAGGATGCTTGCTCTATCCCCAAAAGAAATTGGTCATATACATAATTGCAGCTGAGGAGTCAAACGGCTAAAAACGTTCGACAATAGTGATTACAATTACAATTTCGTAATTCGGTTTTGATGAGAATAAAATTGTGTTGCCAAAACTTGCAATTTACTCATTTGATATTTACATATATGAATGCAAATCTAAATATTTCACTTAAATAAATCCATGGGTTTGCAAAATTTGTCATTCATGTAATTATTTAGGAAGGCTGGAAAATTATAAATTATCCATTTGTATTCTCATTCGTCCCTCTCGTTTAGCACTAATTAATTCTAATTGTTTAATTAGTTGAGGTATTGTTAAAAACATGACGTATTTAAATACGTACACATGTTTGCAGAGACATATGAAGATCTCATCACAATTACGTATGCTTACATACATTTCCTGTGAATACTCATTTCTTTACAAATCCAGTAAATATGTACTAGGAAATCGTAAAAAGTGAGTGATGGGATGCTCTTGTTATCAAGCGTGGATAACGACCATGCTAACGTATGTACACAAGGGATATAACTCCTCATTTAATGCACATTTCTGCCGAATTCTTATCTCTCCTGATTGAGTTGAACAGTGACACAATTTGCAATTTGTCATACCGACAGAGATCAGTTTCATTCACACACTGAACAAGCAACTGGGTCACCACATGAGTTTCGCGATTTTTAATCACGGTTCGATTTAGTGCAGTGTGTAAAATTAACATGAATAAAATATTTTCCTCAAAATTTCCATAATATATTTGTATAAATGTAAAAGTAGAAAATGTCAAAACCGCTCTTCTTCCGCCTGGCTGGCACCGTGATTTTGACAATTTGGTGGAAAATAATTCTGCTCGCACTCTACACCGGAAGTGTGGTTTCGTTCTATCTTTATCTCAACCTTCCACCGGATCTTGGAGTGGAAAAGGCATCAATAACGACGCTCGTTTCTCGGGATGATGACGACCATCACCACGACCATGACCATCCAAGGGTCGAATTTCCTCAAATTTTGGTCCCCGTGCTGGGCGTGGTGACCGGGTTGCTCCTCGTGTTCAGGACAAACACGGCGTATGACCGGTATTGGGAGGGGAGGAGGACGTGGAGCACGATGACGGTGGCGATAAGGACGCTGACGAGGTGCATCTGGGTCATGGTGGCGTCAGAAGGAACGGCGAAGGAAGTGGTAGAAAAGACAAGTGCGATTAATCTGCTAATTGCGTTCGCATATGCGACAAAGAACTATTTGAGGGAGGAGTACAGTTATGAAGAGCCGGTTAGTGGGTACATATTAAATTAGTGTTTTCATGATTACCAAATTTAAAGTTATGGTGACATTTATGCAGTCAGTTAAATAATTAGTTGATTAATAATTAATTTGAGATAGAAATAGAAATAATCTATTTGACTAAATATTCATTTCATTTGCGTACTGTAATTCCTAATGGGAAATTAAGAAAGAAAATATTGCAGAAGTTTTGTGATGTTTTAATAATTTGTAACATTTAATGTAATTTAGGATCTGTACCATTTAATTCGTCATATCCCAAGATTCTCAAAACCGTCCACCAACATGGCATGGGATGTTCGGAAGGGAAATATTTCGGACAAATTGGCCACCCCTCAAAGTCAGGAGGGTCGTTCTAACAGACGAGCTGCATTAGCCAGACAATTGTCTTTGACAGCTTATGCAGTCGTGGTGAGATTTTATTTGCATACTTTAGATAATTATTAATATGTTCGAGCTAATGGAATATTTTAATTTGCAGACACCAACAAACATTCCGATCGAGTTGAGCTATTATATCGCCTCGTACATTAAAAAGGTTAATGATGGAGGCATGATTGACTCTGCGTCCTTGACACAAATGAATAACGGTGCGATCCACTAATTAATTATAACGAAATATTAGGAAATTCACTCGTATCTATGTTTGTAAACTCTGTAAAATTTTGCAAATTTTGTGGCTCAAATAGTGCTTATCTGATGACTTTGTTAATCGGTCCCTGATTTTTCTTATTTGTATACAGCTCTTACCAGTCTGGTGGATAGTCTCACCGTTTTTGAGCGGATTCAGAGGACTCCGATCCCCTTGGCGTACTCGGTGCATCTGAATCAAGCCGTGTGGCTGTACCTACTCGTCCTTCCGTTCCACGTGGTCGGAGAGTTGGGCTGGTTCACGGTACTGGCAGTGATGCTGGCGTCCTTCGCCTTGTTGGGATTGTTGGGGATTGGAAATGAGATTGAAAACCCGTTCGGGTATCATCCCAATGATTTGGTGAGTATTAATCGGCTAACATTTTGGAAAAATTTTGGAAAAATTTTGGAAATTTTGGAAAAATATGTAGGGTATTAATTGGGTAAGTTTCCATGGTAACAAATTTGAAAAAAATTGAGTATTAATCCGCAAAGTTTTTACGGCAAAAAATTTAAGTGAATAGCAAAAAATTCAGACACCGTTTGTACTTCGAAACTAACAGCTCGAAGCATTTATATATGCTAAATTAAAGTTAAAAAAATTAAACCCTTTAAAAATTAACAAAATATTGTTGCCACATAAGACCATAAGTTGACGCTTGTTTAATTCTCTTTCCAGCCATTGGACGACTTCTGTAAAGTGATCCAAGTCGAAATTCAGACCATAATCGGCTATCACATTCGTAATCCGGATATCTGGATTTTATCCAAGCATAACCGTCCCCTGGGTCGCGAGTCTGGTCTCTCTGCGCCCGAACTGATCAAAATGGAAGAGCCCGAAGTTCAGAACTTGTTGACGAGTAAGGCCCTCCGACTCTCCAGAATGGGACTGGACAAGATTATTGAAGAGGAGGAGGGTGCCTTAATGGAAGTCGTGGTTGTCGATGGTCCCCCGGAGGACGGGGGTAAAGATGACATTGATGGGGATGAGAAGGACGGGGAAATCATTAATTTAAAACGTGCGAGTGTTAAAAAGAGACATTGACATTATGTAATAAAATGTTACTTAACTTAACCTTACAATGTAAATAAATATGTAAGTAAACTAAAGGGTGTTAATAAAGTCCGATCCCATGCATTTTTTGGAGCGTGGTTGTTACAAATTCAGCTGGAACTTTTGAACCAGTGAAGTTATTTATTTCAAATTTTTACCATGGGAGGAACAACTAAACGTGTAAGTCATGAGCATCTTAGAGTTGAGATACAAACATTGCATCAGCAGGGGCTTAAACCTATAGAAATTGTGCAAAAATTGGGCTGCAGCCGCAGAACTGTTTGGAAATGGAAGAATAAAAATTTTGTCCACGACAAAAAGCGACCAGGGCGACCCAGAAAGGTGTCACCTACCACAAAAAGAATGATTAAAAACAGACTTTGCAAGAAAACCGGTAGTTCATTACGTAATTGAGCAAGGGAGTTAAATGACTCAAAACGCTATAAAGAGAAGAAGAAGCAAATTAACTGTGTGACCGTGCAAAAATTTGTGAAAACTACGAAGTGGGGTCACACAGCTTACAAACTAACCAAAAAAACCTCTCATGTCACAAAAATATATCGATGACCGTCTGAAATTTGAAGAACTCCTTCAGAAAAGTGCCCATTTGAGTGAAAAAAGACTTGGTGAAGAATTGCGCAGTCACATCCTTTGGACTGACGAATCTATTATTGAACTATATCCAAAATTGAACCAACAAAATGTTCGTTACAGGACAGAAAACAAATCGGATGTACCATCAAGAGCGATCCCAAAATTCGGGCTTAAAGTTATGGTAGCGGGTGGATTTTGTGCACGTTGCGTGACCCCTCTACATATCATACCAAAAGGCAAATCAGTCAATGCAAAGCATTATATGGAAAAAATATTACCTATCTATTTCGATAGCATGGGGAACAAGAAAATATTTCCGAATGAAAGAAAAATAGTTTTCATGCAGGATGGTGCTATAGCCCATACAGCAAAAGCGAGTTTGAGTCTCATCAAGACGCAAGTTTCAACGGTCTGGAGCAAGGGGGTGTGGGCCGCTAACGGCCCAGATTTGAATCCCCTGAAGAACCAGTGGTCCATACTTAAGGAAAATGTATACAAAGAGCCACAACCCCGGACGAGGGAAGAGCTAGTAAAAAAAAGTTCAAGATGTATGGAATTCGATTTCCAGAGGCACATTGGAAAAATTAGCACAGAGCCTTAAACAAAGAGTTGAGGGCATGGTTAAAGTAAATGGTAACAAGACCAAATACTAAGGTAAATATGTCGAACATTTTTTGTAAGTATCACGGGTAGTTTTTTTTATACTAGCCTTCACTTTTTTACAGGAAAAATGGGATCGGACTTTATTAACACCCTGTATAACGTGTTCATTTATTTTTAATTTCGTAAGTATTTATATATTTATATGTAATTAAGTATTTGGATTATGCAGATATGTATCTGTGTATGTACATATTTAAGGAAAATATTTACATTTGTACATATGCATATGGTTATTTATTTATTAAATTCAATGTGAATATTTGCGGCATAATTATTTTGAATATGGGTTTTAGTAGCATCACATGTGAACCGATTTTCTGAATCCACGGAAATGAATAGTTGCTGTAAAATACTAATTGTATGTAAAATACATCAACGCAATGGATGGTGTGGGATTATGTGTTTATAAACGCTCAATTTGTGCAATGTGGCGATTGAGTAAAACTTGTTTACCTACTTATTTATGAATAGAGAAATGAGATTTATTCACATTTAAATTATTAACAATGATTAATACGATCCGTGAATTGTTACATGATTAATTTTCTCTGTTTCAACTTGAATTGGTAAAGTTGATTAAAGCCAAAAACCTAAAACTTTAAACGTTCTGATACTTCCTTTATTTATGATTAATATTGTCTAATTTATGTAATAGATTCAAATCAAAGTGATCCAATCTAATCCATTTCGCACCCATCCATTTCATCCTTTAAAGTGAATTCACCAGACTTCCCCACGCCGCAAGCTACGATACGCTGCAACCCCAGTGGTACATTCCTTCCCACATGTCGAAGTGCAACAAATTTTTCCTGCAGAACAGTCCGAATTTTGGACACAGTTCTTGCTTGGATCGTATCTGCAAACCGTGTAAGAAGAATATCTGGGTCGCGGGGGGCAGGTCATTGGTGCCGACTCGGTCAGTGCAGGGTAGTTTCGTTCATAATCAATTGATGATTGAACTTGTCCACCAGAAGTGGATCCTTGTCGCCAAGGATTCGAATTAGAAGTGCTGTTAACTGCAGTGGCATTACTTCCGGTCCGATTTCGTCCAAATGTCGGCGGTGCCGAGGTATAATCAGGGTAGGTATGTTCCTCGCTGGGAAAATCGGTTGGAAATGGGGTCGTCGTTGTTGTACGCCGCTGTTTTCCAACAGATTTGCATATTTTCCCACAACTGTCTCGACAACACATTTGTCCCCGAGGGCAATCCGAGTGCTGCAAAAATGTTGGTACATTATTATGTAGTGTATTCATTACGAGTTCGCATGGTTAACAATGTTACCAAAAAAAAGTCTGCAAAAAATTTTTGCTTGAAAATTTATTTGCAAACTGGCGAATCTCTAAGGGTAGTATTTATGTAGTTTGGATTTCTTTCAAAATTATGTTGAAATGCGACATGCGAACTCGTAATGAATACCCCCAATGATTTGATAAATGCAACACCGATGTAGTCGGAATATGGTAATACTTATTTACCGCAAAAATTCGAATTCATTATCGATTGGTATCGAAGTTGGCATTACCTGAACACAATTTTGATCCGTGAACTGACATGCACCAATTTGCGAGGGAATAACTTTGGGACATTTTCCAGGTCGAGTTGTCGGCCCTCTCGTCGGTGTGATGGGATCTTTACATTCCTTATTGCATCCGGACGGACAACACAACTGAGGTCCGGGACAGTCGTTACTGGACCAGCAGTAAGTGTCATAATCGATGACACAGATGGAGGATAAGCCATCATCCGGTGGACAAGTACCACCCTTCATGGCGTCTTAAATTATGTAATAAGAATATTTAAATTTGCGTACTAATTTGTTGAATAAAGTACTTAAAATTTGACTACTTACAAATTAGTGGACACGCCAAGAGCAAAATGAAGGACTTTGACAGTCTCATGCTGACAGTATTATTCAGAAACTTATTGGATTTATTTTCTAAAATATTATATCACTAACTTGTTAATCTCGTGGAATTTGTAAATATGTACTTATCCGTGTGTGAAGCTCAGATGAGGAACAAATCGTTGCATAAGTTTAGCAATTTTGTTCGTTGGAATTGACCTTACATAAGTTCATGTTAACATAATGATGAACTTAACATTACTTAATATTGCTTACTTTACGTATGAATATGTTTCTCGTAGGCTAAGGTTATATGAATACGTGTAAGATTCGTCGATTATGTAAATATGAGTGTATATGCATACATGAAAATGTTAATACTCATTTATTTATATGCATACATATCTATGTACGTACTCGATAGTTATTTTATTAAACTGGATTTTGGAAGATGAAAGTTATGAATTTGTTGACAGTTATCATTCGTGGAAGATTTCGTGATCGAGGAATCTATTTAGATATGTATGTATATACTGATAAAGTTTTTTATTGACTGTGTCGGATACGTGAATATGTACATAATTTTACATATTTATAAATATGTATGTACGAATCATAAAATTTCTATATTATAATTATTGTCAAACGTTAGATATTGAATCCAGCTAAAAGGCGTTTTATGCATTACGATCTACTTAACAGATTTCAGTATAATCTATTTATGTATATACTACGTACAAATATTTCTAAAATTAAGGATTTTTAAGAAAAATTGGTCTTGATTTCGTAATAAGCAATAACCAACGACTCATATTAAAAATTTAATTCATCCAAGTTGTGTATTTACATACACACGCTTATCGCATGAAATCTACATTTATATATGCATCATACTCCTTCATATGTGCACATCTAGATAAATATGTGTATTTATACTAAAACAACAGAAACTTAACTGTCCACTTGATACACAAATTCATCATGACAAAAGGTGTCAAAATTTCGATAAAATTGTTTCCAAACCGCACCTTAATTGGGGAACAAGCCCGCACGGTTTTAAAAAATACGGGATTTTCCATTCTCATGAATCCACGTCTTTGTAACTGGCCCAGAAACATTTTCGACTTTTTGTTCACTTTTCCACACAAAGTTCCCACGAACAAGATGACCATCACACTTTCAGCGAAAGATACGAGAAAGACGAGATTTCCAAAGTTTTCGAACATATGATCCCCAACAGAAACAATTAATGTACTAGCGACGATATTGCAGAAGGCAAAAATTAGAAGGAATCCTGGAAGTAGAACTCTCCGAAATGCAGTGTTCATTTGAGCCTCCAGAATTTTAAGTTGTAGGAACAATTTCAGAGTTTTGGTGTAAATTGATGATACCCGAAGCTCAGAGTTTATGCATTTGTTCAGCCTGTAGGGATTCATTTACATGTGATCAATAAGGTGAGGTAAGAATTTATTGGGCGTACTCACGCCAATTTTCCTAAATTGAACATATCTGTAGCTACATAAATTTCCAAGTTTTGCGCAATTTACAATATTTGCAAGACTTTGACCGGAAAACCATGGGTTTGCGTAATTTGCATGATTTTGCAAGACTTGCCGGAAAACCATGGAATGTTTTTTAACAAATTTATTTACCCAGGAAGTGGGAATGATGCCCTGAGTACGCCCATTATAAACAACCTATTAAAAAAATTAAATTCTTACTTGATCAAGTGCCCCACGTAGACGAACAGGCTGAAGATCGTGGTTATTAGTACATTTCCAGCCACAAGTAGTAAGGATGTAATCAGAGTGCAAAATTGCCAGGTCTGAAAGGCCAATGTTGTGACGTGTCCGAGGGTCAAGATTACTGTTGTGAGACCGTCTAAGTTTTTTGGAATAATATAATAATAAAATAATTAAACTTTTTGATTGCTAGCGAATTAAATAATTAGATAACAAACCATGCATTTCGGGGATTAAAGACCCCAGAAAAGGAATCCTTTGAACCAGGATTATGACAAATACTAACAAAGCTGCAGCAATAGAACCCTCAAACACCAAGACCCACAAGCTATAGGATAAATATCTGCCCAACTTGCGAAATTCTGCGGGGCATTGTTTTCCCCACAGGGTGCGTTCGAACCTCAAAAACATTTTCAGTAAGGACACGAAGTCTTCCGGTTTTCGATACCAAGAGAACAACAACGTCACCACGACGGGAAGGACGCCAAAGGAAAATTGGCATATTACAGCTCTCGTCGTTACATCAATTCCAGGTTGGCCGAGATGAAATGCTCCGTTGAATAGGAGGAATGTGGAATAGGTCAGTAAACAAAGTAGGGCGGGGGTTTTGAATATGGTCCAACTTGAATTTCTTGGCGTGGCTGAAACCTTAAAAAATAAATTAGGGGAGAGATATATCGGACAATGAATAAACACTGAGACTAATTTTATTTGATGCTTTGTAGCAGCCAAAGTTGAGGATAGAATCATTTCAGAAGGTGTTTTTAATTTAGTTTAATCAGCAATTTAATTCATGAATTTTCTAGAGAAAGTCATAGACGACTAAATGCGACGTACTTTATAAGAAATGTAGTGGTACTCGAAACACAATTTATCTATTTATTTATGTACCCTGTGTACATAAATATTCCCGGTGTAATATTTTAACGGGACGTTTGTCGCTTACATTTATTATGCTTTCACCGGAAATACTTACGAATGATCCAACACCAAAATGTAGACAGACTCTTATGTCAATAAATGACAATTTGGAATAAATATTTACAAATACATGCCCGCGTTTGCATGAGGAAAATGTATGTATACCATACTTACGTATGGTATTTCCTGTCGAACAAACCGAACAAGAAATTCCGACGTATGTACACGGTGACTAAAATAAATACCAACTTCCGCCCACATGTCAGGTATTTTGCGACGTTGCGAATTTAATAAATATTTGCGAGATGATTTTTCTGAAGTGAAACTACAAAAACTCGAAACTTCTCGTTTTTTAGTTCTCGCTACTTTTAAATTTTACATACATGCATATTTTGATATTTACATATGTGTATAAGCGAGTTATGCTTGATTGGCTGAAGAGCAAAAGCATACTCTTATTTAGCATGAATTTACATATTAATGTGCATATAGGTTATTTCGTTATTGCAGATTGCAGTCATACTTAATTATTTTGATTCACCTAAGAACAATTTTTTGAGGTTTATGTTTCTTTTGCGTGGGTAGGAAGTATAGACGTATTTATATTTGATACAATTTTAACTGTTTCAAATAAACTCATACCAACGATAATACCAAAACAAATGCATAAAAATAGATTTTACATAAATTTGAACTATATGCACGGGACATGATGCATTTATACCAAAATAAATTCCACTATTTGAAAGAAAACAGAAAGATTTACACAAATGAATTATACGAAATTACAGGTTTCTTTATTGTTTTCAAATATTCCCCGAATTACCCCAATTTTGTAACCCCCCGAAAATAAAATCCCCTAATTTTGCCCTAATACGCTCCATATCCACCTGGATATCCACCATAAGATCCTGGATAGCCCCCGTTATTGTATCCCGCGGGATACCCACCATATCCGTTATTGTATCCCCCCGGGTAATATCCCCCGTTGTACCCATTGTTATCCTCCTGGATAACCGCCGTATCCGTTGTTGTATCCATTATTGTATCCATTGTTGTATCCGCCTGGATAGTATCCCCCATTGTTGTAGCCGCCGGGATAAGGACGAGGAACGATACCACCACCGCCGCCTGCCGCCGCGCTGGCCGCCGCCGCGGCACCAGCCCCACCCCCGACGATTTGCGCCGCCGCCTCAGAAACGAGGGCAACCACGACCTGAGCAAAAAAATGAGATTATCAAAATTATAATATGGTCAGGATAAGTGTCACGATAAGCCCAACTTACCAAGACCAACAAGGCAGAGAAAGACTTCATGTTTTTGTTGTTTTTGTTGAGTTTATTAGCGAGTAATTGACACTGGGGTACGACACGTTCCGTTTTATACCCCGTGGAACAATCGGAATTGGACAGGATGGCGGATGTTGTAAAATTTAAGAATTGAATGGAAAGTTACGTAATTTTTTCAGTGCGGTTTCATTGATAAAAGTTACGAATTTCCTCCAACAGAAGGGCGATGATGTGGGTTATATAATGCATAAACACGTGAGGGTTTGAATGAGTTAGCGTCACACGAGTTGCGTAACAGTTACGTTGAACAGTTAAATTGCTTTTAATGGCATGCTTGTAAAAAAATTACTGTAGTTCAAATTTGAGAGAATACAATACATACGTTAGGATTTTTAATTGTTTTGTTTACAATTTGGTTAAGAATGTTTTTGTAAGTTTAATAAAAAATCATACTTTGTAATCATCATGATAAGACCGATTTCTTAATGGGTTAAGCTTAAAATTGATTTCTTGTAGCTTTATGGAAAGGAAAGTCTAAAAAAAGTTTAATGTATACGTACATACATACATTGTAAAAACATGTGTCAGTTATGAAACATAAATACATCCATAAGTAGAAATGTTAATTTACTTTGCTCAAATTGACAAGAACTAAATGTGTACATACGCATAATGATTATTGTCACAAATTATTTATAATGACATTAAACTCTAGTACGTGAACAGTACATGAATATGAACGTAGCGAAAGCTACTTGATTTTGTTAATATAAGTCACGTGAAATATTGCAACTATCAATTAATCGATTCCACTTTATCACAAAAGCTAATAAGATGACACAGCTCATTATTATGAGTACTTCGCCCAATTTCTAATCCATCGTCTGCAATTCTCCAATTCATACATGTACATATCCAATCTTACCTACAAAAAACCACTTTATCGCCATGGACCCAACTTCTGTCGAAGATTTGCTCCTCACCTTACTAAAATACCCCCTCCTCGGCGTCCAAATCATCGGGTACGTCCCACTATCCATCATGCAAACCCGAGTAGAAACCCCCTCAAAAATAAAATCCACTCCACGCTACATAAAATCCTTAAAATTCCACTGGCTCAGAACTCCCGTCCTCTCTCAACTTTTAATTCTCTTCACCTTCTCCACCTGCACCTTCCTCTTCATCATACCTGAACAACAAAACAAGGGATTCGACCAATTCAGCAAACTTTCCACGGACATGGTCATAATTTCCGCGATGAGCGTTCTCGCTCTAACCAACTCGATAGGAAACCGAGTCTACGGTTTCACCACCGTTCGGAGGAACACTCTCGCATTTTGGCACGTGCATTGTCGCCAATTGCAAAAAATTTCGAAAATATTGACCCATCCAGAATTCACCAGTTTGTTGGGAAAACAAGTCCGGGTTCAGTTTTGTTGGACAATTTTCTTCCTCCTCTTACCAATTTCAACCATCCTGTTCGGTGACCTGATTGCATCCAAGGTTTTCGGCGTTTCGAGTAAAGCCTCCATCTTAAAAATGATCCAGGAGAGGAATGTCGGCATATTTTGGGGGATGATATTCTGGATTTACTTCACATATTCGCACATCCTTCTCAGCAATTGGATCACATTTTTCGTCAAGATTTACAACCTCGTGTTAAAATGTGTCACTAAAGAGGTTGAAGGCATGGCGGGGAATAATGATCCGCAGGATTTCGTCACTCTTGACAAGATTGAAGATGTCACCCAAGCATACGACGTAATATCCGGATTGGTGGATTATTTTAATGAAAAGCTGAGTTTCCGCTTGATGGGCGAAGTTGGGATTAGCATTATTTGGATCTTGGGCTGCATATACTTTGCTATGGTTTCGTACAAAACGGTGGAAATTGGGAGCATGCTGACTAATATTTTGGCTTCCGGTATGTCGATAAGGACGTTGTACACTTATGGAGACGAGGGCGAGAATTTGGAACAAAATCGGATTCTGTTAATTAAACGGTTATGTGATGTAAAGGGAAATAATTTTGGGATCGTGGGGATGGAAAAGGTTAATCGGTTATATGCATACTTAGAAAGAATTATGCAAATTAAATCGGTCTAAAATATTGTACGTATTTATTTCGTAGCTAAAGTTTCTTAACCGGAAGGTGATCAATTGCAAATTAAGCATCAGTCCAGGAAATTTTTTCACCCTGAATCGGAGCTTCGTGTTATCTGTAAGAAAACCATGTTAACATTTGTTAAGTATTGTTTACGCATTTATTTTGTACTGATAGATTTGGTCTGTCCTGATTACTCTGTTAATCGTAATGGCCCAGGTGAGAGATTCGGATGAGATGGGAAGTACCAACTCGACCAACAATGAGATCTCCGTCGCCAATGCTTCCATGAAGTAAATATGGAAGTGCATATGTACATGTGTGTCATGTTATATTGCAGAAATATCAATTATTAAACAGCAAATGGCATTAAATTCCGTATGCTATCCATACATACAGATAAATATTTATAAAATGAAAACATGAATAAATTTTAAATAAGCTAAAATAAGCCGGTGTGGAAATTTCATTCAAATCTGATATGATAATTTTTTTATGAATTTTTGAATGTAAAATGTATCGCTACATAATATTCACACATATGTACATAGTGCGTCGCGATCTCTTGATTCTAATGCTAAAATAAAGATTACCAAAAAAATATTTCTCCAGATTATTTACATGATTTTCTCCACATCAACCGTATACATGTAGATATGCAGAACTAAATAAGTAGTTTAGAAACCAGAGTTTCGTAATAAGAACAAAATTCATAGATATATGATTGCCAATCGAGGAGACAATTATTTAACGTCAAAATTTGTCATTCCTATTTCAAAGCGATCAATGACATTTTCTCTCACAATTGTTCTAGAATATCTGACATCTTGCGGGTCAAAGAAGTACATTTATGTGCTACACATATGAATTTCTATCTAAAAAATTTAATATTTCAGCAATAACAACTAATGAACCTCAAGCTACTAAATTCATACTTATTATTTGTAATCAAGCTGCATTACAGGAATAAAAAGTTGACCAGATATTCAAACCCAGTGAAAATTGTACGCATAGTTTGAAAGCATTTGACTTTATACTAATTTGCGACAAATGTTTCAAATTGGCAGCTTCACCGGAAATTATTTTTTACTATAGGGAAGGATGCTCATTGTCTAATTTGCATAACTTTGGCAGTCTAAACTCCGTATTTCACTGAAGTAATAACCTATTATTATGTAGAAAATGGAACTGAAGCTACCCCGCATATCGACAAATCGACAGCGATGTTCCGAAATATCTGTAAATATTGCATTCCATTTGGCCGTCGATAATCTTCCTGCCTGTCCAATTTTCGTGTTTGGTTGGTGTTACAATGATTTTCAGCACATCGCTTCTGCCACAGTATTGGCATCATATTTATTTATTTCTGCCAAAAATTTCTATTTTTTTTAAGAATTGCACACGCATTTTTTAAAATGTACTCGAAATTTGGCCTAAAACTTGTCCGCATGGCTCTCCTCCCATCCACACTACTGGGAACGAATAGCATCTATTTCAATCCCAAAAGTAGAACATTTTATACCACAAAATTATCGAGATTGAAATTATTTCTAGCTACGATTGTCCTTATTGGTCTGGAACTCTTCTTGTTGTGGAGGACATTGGAAATATTTTTGTGGAAGGGGGGAAACTCGAATGAGTATTTTCATATTTCATACATTTTTGCCTTCGCGTGCGCAATGTGTTCCGGTTTTATGGTTTTGATTAATTTGCGTCAGGGCGAACTCTGTCAACTGGCGAGTAGATTGGTGCGCTATTGTACGTATTTCGAAGGTTGGTTTTATATGTAAGCGGTATCCCTGTAAACTGATAAACTTTTCAAACATTGCTATATATATAACAGGTGACGATGAGGTTGCAGATATATGTAAATATTTCTGCATCCTGAAAATTTGCGAAATAATTAGGCAAAACATTTACAATTTAGTGTGTATTTTACGACTATTTCATAACGAGGGTATTCACGAGTTCGCATTATTAGCAAAAAACAAGGTTTGCAAGATCCAAAAATTTTCTAAGAGAATTGGTTCGAAAAATGATTTGTAAAGTTGCGAATCTCCAAGGCCAGTAAATATTTTTGTAGTTCGCAAAACGTCCAAAAAATATGTTGTGATGTAAACTCCTGATAAATACCTCTACATATGTGCATAAACTATACTACACATTTTAACGGTAATTAATATTTCTCCACCTATTTGTTAGGCCAATGGATGCGAAATTACGACCCAAGCAAATCTCTGACCGGGACTGGTTTGGACATATTGCTTTTCTTAGCAATCGTCTCATTTTCTACGGCACCTTGGATGTCCGTGCTGCACTATTTGGTCTACCCGGAGACCCCGATCTTTCTCCCGACCATATTCCCACCTGCATTTCGTCACAATATCTTCGTTTATTGGGCTTATTCCTTATTCGTAGCGTATTATGCGTATTCCGAGTGGCAAACCTTACTAGCAATTACTGCCTTGGTGTTGCTGTACATTTGTAAGTTTACCAGTTAATGTTATGGCATAGCATTATTTGAGACATTTGTTTTATAAACTATATTTTGTGTCAGTGTCGGAATTGCCCTTGATAAACTCCGAATTTCGGATTGGTTCAAAAAATCAAAGATGTTCCGAATCGCTTCATACTGCTTGGACCCTTCCGACGGAATACAGGTGGGTAAAAATGTGTATATATACCCATATGTACATATGTATTTACATAAACACTAGGAAATTTGGTCGCAATTTTGTGAACCGTGTAATTACAGAGTTCGGACCTTAAATGTATCTTCTTTTCGATTGAAAAAAACCTTATCATGTGCATGCGTGCAGTACATATGTATGAATACATTGAAGTTTACGAATAGTTAGGATTCAAAATCTTCTGAGGATCCTGAGCGATTTAAATCTGTTTTGATTTGGAAATACCAATACCAATTAATAAATTATTTATATTTAATCAGATGCCTGGAACTAATTCATCGCCAGTTTATGGACGTCATGGGTGATGCATTACTAGGAATTCATGCTGCTCTAGGTGTTCGCCAATGTGACCTTAATCTTGAATAGAAGCACGTTGGAAATTCATGTCATTGTAAGTCAATTGAAATTATGTATGTACAGGGTGTTAATAAAGTCCGATCCCATTTTTCCTGTAAAAAAGTGAAGGCTAGTATAAAAAAAAACTACCCGTGATACTTACAAAAAATGTTCGACATATTTACCTTAGTATTTGGTCTTGTTACCATTTACTTTAACCATGCCCTCAACTCTTTGTTTAAGGCTCTGTGCTAATTTTTCCAATGTGCCTCTGGAAATCGAATTCCATACATCTTGAACTTTTTTTTACTAGCTCTTCCCTCGTTCGGGGTTGTGGCTCTTTGTATACATTCTCCTTAAGTATGGACCACTGGTTCTTCAGGGGATTCAAATCTGGGCCGTTAGCGGCCCACCCCCCCTTGCTCCAGACCGTTGAAACTTGCGTCTTGATGAGACTCAAACTCGCTTTTGCTGTATGGGCTATAGCACCATCCTGCATGAAAACTATTTTTCTTTCATTCGGAAATATTTCCTTGTTCCCCATGCTATCGAAATAGATAGGTAATATTTTTTCCATATAATGCTTTGCATTGACTGATTGGCCTTTTGGTATGATATGTAGAGGGGTCACGCAACGTGCACAAAATCCACCCGCTACCATAACTTTAAGCCCGAATTTTGGGATCGCTCTTGATGGTACATCCGATTTGTTTTCTGTCCTGTAACGAACATTTTGTTGGTTCAATTTTGGATATAGTTCAATAATAGATTCGTCAGTCCAAAGGATGTGACTGCGCAATTCTTCACCAAGTCTTTTTTCACTCAAATGGGCACTTTTCTGAAGGAGTTCTTCAAATTTCAGACGGTCATCGATATATTTTTGTGACATGAGAGGTTTTTTTGGTTAGTTTGTAAGCTGTGTGACCCCACTTCGTAGTTTTCACAAATTTTTGCACGGTCACACAGTTAATTTGCTTCTTCTTCTCTTTATAGCGTTTTGAGTCATTTAACTCCCTTGCTCAATTACGTAATGAACTACCGGTTTTCTTGCAAAGTCTGTTTTTAATCATTCTTTTTGTGGTAGGTGACACCTTTCTGGGTCGCCCTGGTCGCTTTTTGTCGTGGACAAAATTTTTATTCTTCCATTTCCAAACAGTTCTGCGGCTGCAGCCCAATTTTTGCACAATTTCTATAGGTTTAAGCCCCTGCTGATGCAATGTTTGTATCTCAACTCTAAGATGCTCATGACTTACACGTTTAGTTGTTCCTCCCATGGTAAAAATTTGAAATAAATAACTTCACTGGTTCAAAAGTTCCAGCTGAATTTGTAACAACCACGCTCCAAAAAATGCATGGGATCGGACTTTATTAACACCCTTTACGTACGTAGATATGTAAGCTCAACATCGAGGCATTTCACGTGAGTTTACGTAAATCTATAACAACGTAAACGTACGAAGATAAGCCTACGAACTCCAAACATGACTTTCATCCTCGTCAGGTTTTGTAAGTTCGTAAGCAAAAATTCTCTTAGGGATGTTCGTAAGTTTCGTCAAAAGCTCGTAAATTTCGTAAGTTTACGCGGTTACGGACTTGGGATTAATCCATTGTAAATACATATTATGTATTATCGCTATAATAATTGCAGCTCATCCTTCTCATTTGGTCAATGGTGGCACAAACTGTGTGGGTGTTTTGCCTCGAATTATTCGGCAGATTTGGATCCGGTGCCAAGAAAATGATTGAATCTTGGAAGAAGATGAAATTTCGAAACTCGCAGGAAAAAAGGTACATGTCCAAGTTTAGGAAGGGGTGTCACCCCCTGAAAATTGAAAAACAAGGAGTTTTTGCGATTAAGCGTTTGACCGTGCTCAAGTTTATGAGGGCGGTGATTAAGGGAACTTTTAGAGCAGTCATGACTCTGGGGAAAGTCAAATGAATAAAATTAGTGGATTTATCGTCCGGTAAGCAATGGAATAATTAAGTAAACTTTATGTATGCACCTGAGGATAAGTGCAAGTTCGTAATTTAATAGGTCAATCAAATTAATATGGAATTCGTATGTTTTCTCTAAAAATCTTTGGGAATATTCCAAGTGTATGTAGTAGATATGCAAATTTCCACCGTAGATGTGTTTTTATATCTTCATTTCAGTAGTTTTTAGCAATTGTCACAATGCGAAATGAATAACTTGTCAAGTACAAAATATGAGTGCATATTTAAGAATTTCCAGGATTTCAACTCATACGGATGTAAATATGTTCAAATATATTTACTTACATATGCTGGATCAATCTG